GGGGGGGGGAGAGATTTACGATAGTCGTACAGAACAATGCGATTTTGGTGTGCGGCGTGTGGGAGAGAGACGGAAGGGTTTCGCGTTGGACAGGCCGACAGGACAGGCCGGCGAACCGAGTCCTGCATGCGGTCCCTGCGCGCCTGTGGGGCGGGCAGACCCGCAGCACGCAGATGTCGCGCTCGGTGGCCTATCGTAGACTTGACAGGCGCTTCGCCGAGGACGGAGGTCGGTCAATGCGGATTGCGTGCACGTTAGGAAGGTGTGATGTTAGCAATGTGTCGTTTTTCTCCCATTTATATTCAGGTGCTTGCACATTGTGTGCACTTGCGTACTCTATTCCAGAACTCACCCCTTTCTTTCTTCCCGCAGCCGCGAGCGTGAGGACGCGGGGCATGCCGTGGACGAGCCGCTGTGGGGCGTGCAACTCCTGCGTCTGCAGCTGCAGCTGGGTCCCGCGTGCCCAGACTTTGCGCACCTGCTGGGACTCGGTGACGCCAAGGAGGCGCCGCCCCGCCTCGCCGAGGACCCTCCCGCCGCGCACCAGGACAAGCCCGGAGGGGTCGCGGCCGACAGGAGGAGGTGCAGCATCTGCGGCCCAAGCAGCGGTGAGCGCAGCAGCCCGCTCGCGGCGACAACAGAATACTTTCAGGAATACGTGAATACAGATGGCCGTAAAAGGAAACGGCTGTTCGATTATTATTTGACAGTCGCCGCGTGGCTTTAAATGCCCATAGAAAACATAGGCCTGGTGTGATGCTCTTGGGCGAAACTTTTACATGGGATCTTGCGTCCGTGACATGGCCATTAAGTATCGCTTTGTCTACAGGTGGAGTGGGACAACACCGACGACGGACACTATCCTCCCTACAAGTGAGTAAAAACTAGTTGATTTCCAAAAAATAGCCCCGTGCTCGCCTGTCAAAATATTCATCTGATGATTTTATTGTGTGCGAAAGTTTAGAGGCTTATTCTTTTTCGTACGCAGCGCCGCAGCGAGGCAAGGACAGAACCCGGTCCGTCGACGGCAGCCGAGTGTGAGCCGAGCGACGCAGCGTGGCCGTCGTCCTGCGGCTCGGCGTGCACCGCCGCGGGCGCGGGTGGGTGTGCGCAGCCACTGCTGCACCTGCTGTCGGGCGACCTGGAGCGCTGCTGGGAGGACGTGCTGCTGGCGCTGCGCCTGCTCGTCGCCCCATCGCCCCCCGCGGAGAGCGTGACGGTGAACGGCGTGAGCGTGCAGGCCGGCGGGCTGGTGCTGGTGCGCGCCTGTGGCCTGGCCTGCGGTAGCGAGGACCTCGGCGAGGGCGCAGGCAACGGCTGGCCGCGGCCCTGCTGGCTGGCGGGGCGGGACGCGGCGGGCCATACCCCTCTACTGCTGGTGGGCCGGCGCCTGCTCGCGGCGGCGCGGTGGGCCGACGCGGCGCAGGTGGCCGCCCTGCTGCTGGCCGCGGGAAGCGACGCCAACGCCGTGAACCGGGAGGGCCGCTCGCTCCTGTCGTACGCGGTGGCCGCCCTGGACGAGGCGGCCGACACGACGCGCCTGCTCCTCAACCACGGCGCCACGGTGTGGGGCGGGCTCGAGCTACCCCCGCCCACCCTGCGGCCGCCCGTCCCCGCCGCCTCGTCGGCCACCCCGCCGGCCCCTGCCCTCCGCGAGGACGCGCCCTGCTCCCCGGTGTTCGCGTGGTTCCTCCGCGCCGTGATCCGCCGGCGCCGGCTGGACGAGGGCTGCCTGCGCACGCTGGCGCTCGTGTCCCAGGTGATGGCCGAGCGGCCCCGGCACATGCACGGCCTGGTGCTGCGCACCATGTTCAGGCACAGCCGCTGCTACCGCGTGCTCGGCCCCGTCTTCCTGCAGATCAAGACCGCCATGGCCCTGCACTGGAGCCGCCCCCAGGACCTGCGCGCCCTGTGCCGGCGCACCATCAGGCGGGCGGTGGGGCCCAGCAGGCTGCACCACGCCGCGCCCGCTCTAGGGCTGCCCACGGCTCTACAGGAGTACCTTCTGCTCCACACCTGAGTCACCCGATCAGACTGTTTCGGTAGCCGGTTATCGGTTTGTGTGTTCACGTGTTTGGAGCTGATGTATTTAATTACTGTGAGTGTTTTATTCAACCTGCCGTTATATTTCTAAATATATGTTAAGGTGTCAAATGGGAAGTAATTATATGAACCACAATACATTTGATGTACCATTTATATTTCTCCAAGACCAGTTACAACTGAAATACTGGTATGAGTTTAGTAATACTAGCCTACATAGCAATATTGGGGAACTCCAACAGAACACACCAAAGGCTGGGGTTAACAGACACAGGTTGCAACACCATGGAATTTCCTACATTTAGCCATTCATGGATGTTTCAGTTCGCACCACTTCAGATGCAAACTAAGAGTAAGCACTCTTCACTCCCTAGAATGATGCATTTCATACGTGCTTTTAATCAGCTGAATGTATAAATTTCTTGTTGACCTTAACTGCTTGACATGAACACATAAACATGCATCAGAAAGAATCACAGTACTGAACTATATCTTTAAAACCATTGCTAGGGAAAAGAACTCAATAGCTACAGCAACCATGAGTGAATCATGCATTAATTCAGCTGATTTTAAGTGACAATCGTATGATTCACAGAATATATATCCATTACTTTTCTTTTTTTTTGTTAAAAAAAAAAGGATCAGTATTTCCATTGTATGCTAAAGAGGATGTGACATACCAGTCGATAACCCCGCAAAAGTAAAAGTGCTGGAGCCGACTAGAGGAAAACAGATTTCAGGGCTAGAGCATGCAACACACATACTAGCCTGCATTATGGAGCATGGATAAAGATGAAGAGAACTCTCAACATTCTTTCAAGTGAAGTATAGGTTTTAATAAATGAGAACAAAATAAAAAGGACACTGCTCCATGACAAAACAAAATGATAAATGAAATTTAAGAGTTGAGAGTTCTGACTTCTTTAACCATAGCTGAACAAACACATTTGAAGTTTTTAATGTATGAAGGATACAAATCAAGGTCATATAATTCGGGGAAAGGGGAGAGGGTCACAAATTTCACAAATCTTAACACAAACACAATACACAGCTAGTATCGCAAGAATAAATATTTCTGCCATGGACTTAGTTGTTTTTTTTTTCCTTTTCCAATTTTCTGGCATAACATACTTGAAGGGGATGTCACAGCAAGTTGGTCCAAGCTTGGGAAGAAGACAATAGAAAACACTCAGATGTACCAGTTTAGTGAAAATTAGTTTTTGTAGCAGGGTGTATTTGAAATTTTTCATTCTCTAGTGTTCTAAATGAAAGGCAGACTTGTGCCATGACCAATTGTTGTACGAACAAGCAATGTGTACAATCAGTTCATTACTACATAATACCACATTGGAATTGCTGTGTAGCTCTTTCTATTAAACTAGGATGAGTAACAGCAAACATGACATTAATTCTCAGACACCCTGTGACTCGGGGGTGGGAGAAGGGCCGGAAAATAAACAATCATTCCTCTACTTCATTCAGCAGAGGACATACCACTACAACACTGAAGACACTAAACACACACATCTTGGCTTATTAATCAATTTCAATACAGGATTTATGATTATTTACATAGAAATATTGAAGATAACACATTTATTAATTTTTATGCATCTTCCAATTCACAAAAAAATAATAAAGTGGTATAAAAGTTATTAAGATAAATTTGATTAGTCTCACATCAGACAAAGAAATTGTGAAAAGAACTGAACTGAACCAGAATATGGAGTCACAACCATTTTTCTTGTTGAAGTCATAAAACATAAAAACAGGGCTTGTATAAAAAGTTCTGGGCCATTTACAACAGAGGTTAGAGGAGTAAAAATAAGAAACTAGAAATGAGCTCAAGACATATCATTAGATCCACCTCTACCCCTTGAACCTCCCTTGTAAACTGCCAGTTCTATAGGAAAGTATGTTGCAATTGGAGACATGTGTTGACAACAACTTTCATACTGGGCAACCAACTTGAATCAAAGAGCAGTTTATTACTGCAGGATATCCGTTAACAACCTGCAGATTAAGCACTTGTTACCTCATAAACTGAATTCTAGCTGATAAACTCAAACACTAGATTCATAACAAGAATTAAACTTAAAAGTAACAACAACAGTAAAACAAACAAATGATATTGTAGGATACTAGATTTTTGGACATATTGCTAGAGGCAAAACTTTTGCCCACAAACATCCATTTAACTACATAAAATCTACAGGGTGTATCACACAGAAACATTTCATCAGCATGAAATATACTATGTGATGAAGTCACATACAAATAAACAAAAAATAAAAAGCACTGGCAAATGATGTTGATGATGACACCAACTGGTAAAGTGATGCTGGTTTGCAATTTTTCTGCAATGGGCACAGTGGAAATTCCCTCCAAAATGAAATAAATAAATACAAGGATGGGAAGCTTCTAAAGCTAAAACCAGGGTGTCCACTTCCCGGTGCCCTTTGGAATTCCCGGCTAATTCCCGGTTTTTCCCGGTCCCAAAATCCACTTTTCATGCCAATTTTTCGGTAAGTATAGCAATAGTGCAAAAATACTGTGACGCTTAAAATAGGGTGTTCAGAGTAATGCAATCGAATAAAGAAAAATTGAAATAAAAATCATTTTATTTGAACGATAGGATTTAGTCATTGTCCACGGCGGCGCTACGCTTGCAAGAAAATTACAATTTTCCTGGTGCCCGTGGCAATTTCCCGGCTAATTCCCGATTTTTCCCGGCGCCACAAAATTCCCGGCTAATTCCCGATTTCCCGGAATTTCCCGGTGAGTGGACACCCTGTAAAACACCTCCAGAACAGTATGAATGCTAGAATGGAGGCACATCCCAAAAAAATCGGCGCACTGAAAATGACAAAGGAGAGACTTACATAGCAAGGGAACATACACAAAAACCAACAACTTGTTAATGACTCTCTGTTAATAACAGAACAAGAAAGCACTAAGATTATGATAACTAAGCACTGGGTTTAGGTTCTACAATGAAAAAAACATTCTCAGTTTACAATAGGTACAACACTGCAAAGGGCCCATTTGAAGTATGATTGCCTGAATTACTTAAAACACGTGGACAGGAAAACAAATGATACGATTATTAGAAATGAGATGTAAAACAAAAATACAGACTCACAGATTTCCAGCATCTGCTTGTCAGTATTAAATCAGAGTTAGTATTGTAAAATTTGTGCCTTGTAAGGATGATGGGAACAATCACAAAATAAAAACAAAAACAAACAAGGGATAGAGGAAAGAAAGGTCAGCAAAAAGGCATGGGTTTTAGACATTGATTGTCATTATATGAAAAAAGAAAAAAAAAAAAGGTGACCGAGACAAAACCGCATGCTTTAAAGCTTGAACCTGAACAAAGACACTTGTGCGCTACACTCATTACACTGAAAATAAACTTGCAGAAAAGCTAGTTCCCAGGCAAGATTTCATTTTGGTATAAGTATGAATTTTTTTTAGATAAGAAAATTAATTTTAATTTATGATTTAAATCTATGTGGTGATAGCGGCATGACCATGATGCACAGTTGACTGGAATCGCTTTCTAGAGATGATTGTAACCTTTGAAATCAAAGAGCAAGTACCTAACTTGATGAAAAAACTTAACGCATCAGTTACATAGCAGTAGCAGACATAAGTCATCTACAGTCAGTCCAATGGAACTTAACAACTATGAGTAGAATGGCACAAAATATGGCCTGGTGAAAACTTACAATTCCTGTAACTGAGCTTAAAACAAAGGCATTAGTACAAATTATAGGGTAGCCCTATTTATCATGAGGAAGATAAAAACCAATCAATGAATTACTCCACTAAATACTACCACTGATAAAACTTCACAAAGACCATTGGTTCAGTCTTGGGGAATCAGACCCAAGACGGCATTAGAGGCAGAAGCAGAATGGAATAGAAAGAGGAGTAGCATCAAATCAAAAACCGCCATCACACACACTCCAGAGTCTTATAGGGTTCATTATCACAAGATTCACAAAACTATAGATAACTTAAGCTTAGAGTAGGTAGTAGGATCAACACTCTGATTTTCTTTTCCTGACCAACATCTCCATAATACTGTGTACTGAATTAAGTTCCTAAAGCATATCCACAGACAACCAAAGAAACTAAATAACAAAAATATTTGTAATAAACTTAGTTGGGCCATCCAAGGGTTGGGAGATTTATTTGATGTCTCCAATGTCTCATTTTGGCACCTCATCTATACAAGTTATGGAGAACTTTCAAAGAATAATGCACTTAGCTATTTTAATTAGAAGTAGGACAGAATTTCCAGGGTCAAACTAATTATAAGAACACAGTTATTGCAATGACCAATAAAAAGTCAGATAAGAGCGCCACATTTTACATTGGAGAAAGCGTACTGAAGAGCCAAATCTCCGTGTCCAAAGGTAGGCTCCAACACTATTGTCTCAAGCTCCTCTCACCAGCCTTGGACCCTTAACACATGTTTATTACAAGACCGTCCAGCATGAAAATGACCACTTACTCCTACTTTGAATAGTTAACTGTTTTGCTCAAATTGTAATTTAATCTAGCACACAAAGCAAGAGGAAGAAAAAAAAATTAACATGGAAAAAGAATAAGAAAAATTAGTAAACTAAATTGGCCAAAATAATAAAAAAAATGAAACAAAAAACAATTTAGGAACAAAGAAAAAGATATTATATCCTAGACATGCGAGCACCCTACCCCAATGGCACCGCATTTATGAACTCTGCAGGCTTGCAGGTACACTGGTTTGATAGAACAATTCAAACTGAACAGTCTCTTAGAATTATCATTCTTGACACAATTCATCTTTTGCCCTGCCCGCAAGGCACCCATTAACATTAATGATAAACAGTCGGAATGTTCAACACAGATCCATGTGTATAACATAAATATTGAAAGGGAAGAAATTAATAAGGCAATTCACAGAATTATTGTAGGTAAAAATGACTACACAACAGCTTGCATAGGGAAATTTAAGCAAGCTTGTTCACCTAGACAGTGTTACTGCACAGAAATATAGAGTTGTTCACATCCATAGCAAATCAATTGCTAGTACATTTCCAGTCACACACAGTAAGTTTTCCTTAAATTTCATAAAGGCGCAATGAAAGAAGAATTATTTGATAAATGCTCTGATATGTGAAAGATGAATTATTAAGAAAGGATGCAGTCTTACAACACGTACACATACTTAGCTTAACATGCAACAATCAGTTTCTAGTCCCACCTCACAAAGCCTATTGCATGTTGAAGAGAAAAGTAACTCTTGTAATATCCAGATGCCTTTAGGGACAAATAAAGAACAATTCATCAGCACAAGAGGTCAAGAAAGTATGTGGGTCCTTCGAGCAGAGCTTGAGATTAAGGAAGTACTCCTCTGAAATTGTCTTTATGGCAAAATTTGAGTCCATATGACTGTAGCCTGAAAAATGGGCACTTTAGTAAAAAGAAGTAAGCAAAACAAAATATGTTTTCTTCTTTTCAGAGATGCAGTTTGGAACTTCAACACTTATTGAGTGGAAGGTATTATGAATAGAAACCAGCAATTATGCAACACAATTAAAAGAATGAGCAGTATTATGCTCAATAACACAAATAGGAATTTATGTCAAAGCTTTCAAAGGGATACACTCACATCAACCCTATTTAAATGTGATGTATATAAAACTAGCAGTCTATTGGGAGGGGGAGTAAGAGGAAAAGGGGAGGGGAAGCAACACCATTTAAGAATTCCTATGAAGGACAAGAGCTTCACAAAAGCATAAATGGATTCTCATCAGACAGGACAATAAGAGATGGACTATCATGGGTAGGAAATGGGAGAGCAGATGTGGACCTAGGTGCCGCGAGACCAGAAGCCTAAAACTGGTTGTGATGTTCGTAAGATGAACTGTTCATCGAATATCAGTGATGTTATTTTTGGAACCAAAGATGCGGACGAGCTGGTCTTCATAGTCATCAATATTGCGTTTCATAAGCTCCATGCAAGGGCCGAGCAAACGTTCAAATGCCTCCACATCAAGAACTGTAAAAGAAATTTAACAATCGACTTAAATACTGTGTTGCTAGTGCTCTCATAAGAGTGTAAATGAAAATACTCACAGGCTAGCTTGACTTTCCCAACAGCATAGACAGATGCAGCACGAGGCTTGTGAGTTACAAGAGCCAGTTCTCCAAAGTATCCACCTTTCTGTACTGTGTTGATCTACATAAAACAAACATATGAACAGTGTACATTAGATAGATCAGCGAGATAATATGAACAACAAATTCAGATATGCAACACTTACATCTATTTGGTTATTACTGTCACCCTGAATGGCAATGCGAACAGACCCCTCTTCCACAACATACATTCCATCAGCAGAGTCCCCTTGTCTGATAATGAGTTGGCCATCAACATACTGACGTGGCAGCAGTGCATCAGCAAGATTCATGCGTTCATATGGCTAAAATGAAAAAGATTGAAAATTATAATTAATGAAGAAACAGAAAAACCTTCCCATTTTGAAGCCAGGGATAACTTATACCTAAACATACCTGAAGTGACTTGAGCATTGGCACACAATCAATTAGCTTTTCATACATTTTACGCTTACGGAAGGCACTCTTGAGCACAATGCGACGGAAAGTCTGGCGATCCATGGCCCACAACGCTCCTGGGGAAGCTGCCTGCACAGTAGCAGCACGAGGCATATTGTACAGAAGAGCCAGTTCTCCAAAACTGCCAGAATTTTCATATGTATGGACTTTCTTTGGCTCTGAAGAACCATCAGATACAAATGCATGATAAATGCCACTGAAAAGGTAAGAGTAAACAAGTTATAAAGAAGCTCAACAATTTACTAAAATGCTTAAGTATAGAAGGACAACTGATTAATGTTACCTCTCTATGACATAGAAGTTATCACCATCATCTCCCTGCCTAATGATATAATCACCAGAAGAGACAATCTTCTCAAACATCGCATCCAAAACTTCTGTCATTTGCTCCTACACCAAGAATATTAAATAAGTTGTAAAAATAAACATAAAACAGCGAGAGTTAAAAAATTAATGACCTATTCCACACCAACAACAAACCTTGTCCAAAGAACGGAAGAGCAGAATATTTTTGACGCTGTCTGCTAGCCTTGCCCTTTGTTCATCTGATTTAGGGAAAACCACCTGCAAATGAACAATGAAATTTTAGTTTCAAGTTTTTCCAATTTCAGATTTAAAACAAACATAAAACTAAAATCGGTTAAGTCTGGAGTAAAATAATACCTTTGCACCCTCTTCCTCGTCATCTTCTTCTGGATCATATTGTTCTGCAAAAACAGACTTCCTCCTGATTGAAAATCTGCCTACTGGAGGCTCTGCAAAGAGATTTATGAATGCATCAGATTAATTTAATACACAAATGAAGACAGAAAAAATTCAGCACATGAATGGTGCAGACAATAAAAGGACAAAAATGATAAAATTTTGCTGTTCATTAGCCGAGACTGATATTAATATTTATCTATTCATATTATCCCTGCAGTATTTTGTTTTAGTTTTAAAGTATTCCTGGCACTGCAAAGACAAATTTTTTAACAAGCAGCAGAGACTTTTCCACAAGTTGACTCCCAAAACACAGATGCGCCAGGAAGGATGCAATTTACAAATTAGCGAACTAGACGTATTCACACCCAAACCCTGATTGATCTTGATAAATGAATCCCCTAGTATTCGTTGATGTAACTTGTTAGATAGAATTAATGGTGATTAAGGGCCAAATAATGCTAAACAGTAGTAAACATCCAATGTCCATCTTTTTTTTTTTTTGATTCTTCAAATTAGATTATAAAGTAGTGAGAACTAAAACAAACAATCTTGAAATAATCAACTCCTAGAGGGTCAATAAATATTTGAAAAATAGAGCTCAGAACTTTCAAGTAGTGCAAGTGGTGAGTTAAAATGAAATATCAACAGGTTCCACATGAGAGTTTGATGCAACCATATCTTTAAAATATGACAGGGGATTGAAAAATAGACATGTAGAAAGAAAATATTTATGACAGCTGATTTAAGATGACATATTAGGGCAATGGGCCAGAGGCAAACCCAGTCATCTGAGTAGGCAACTCATGAGGCAAATACTCATTCTAATGGTCATCCAGAAAAACTTACCATCTTCATTGGATAGAATAGAATCGTCAGGGGAAACTGGAGCATTTTCCTTGGGCGGAGCAGCCCGGCGGTTCTCTTGGAGCTTTTTGAAAAAGTCCACAGCGTAGTCGATGATGTCCGGCGGCTGCTCCAGCAGATAATTAATGGTGAACTCAAGAAGAATATCGCGCAAATCATCAGGGACGTTGACTTTAGACGCTTCGCCGCCGCGACTCATCTTGCTTCAGGCTTAACTACACTACTCGATAAGGTAAATTGAGTCCAGACTGGCCCAGGCCCAGCCCAGCAAGGCCAAGATCCTTGTCTGGTCACCACCGCTCGCCCCAACTTTTGCCTCCTCCACCCGTCCTCCTCTGCTAGTAAAATTGGGCCACCAAACGAATATTACTGATATTACCGCCCCTAGGGATCACTGCGACACCTCCGCACGCTTCTTCAACTAGGAAACAGCATTTGGTTTTCTCCAATAATAAATTAGACAAAAATTGAAGTATAGGCCTACAACAAAAAACCGTCTGCTCAAAAAAGATGGCTGCCTCAATCTGCATTAATCGGCCTCTTGGATACGTTTGATAAGCCGTGAGGTCAAATTTAAGGCAACGAATCCTAACAATGACTTCCATAAAAGAATTTAGATCTTTTCAGCTATGAATTTTAAGGATCATAATCTTTTTCCAAGCCAATTTTGACCATATATCGTTTATTTCCCGAGAAATTTTCATAAATGAATCATTTGGTCGAAAGTGGTCAAAATCAAAGGGTTTAGGTGTTTAACGCCCCCTCTCCTTTCTTCCCTTCCCTTTCAAGCTTGGGCGCAAGATATAACTTTGTTTAAAAATGGCGGTGTATGAGGTGTTTACTCAACATGTTACTTATAAATACAAAACCACTTTGTGCTCAAAAGCCACGATAGTTTTAGTGGTGTGCTCTGTTCTTGCAACTTTCGTTCCTCTATTAATTTCTTATAGGAGCAATGGATTTTGGTTGAAAACTGATACTTTTCAGGAACAACCAGACATTAAGTTTTCTCATGATTACTTGCTAGTGCTTCAAACCGATGTTCCTCATAACTCAATTCAGTGCCGAGCTCAGTTTACTTTGACCGACAATTTTCAGCGTCATTGTCTTTTCAAGTCACATGAAGAGGATGTTAATCACGATGGAAAAGTAGATTTTATCAATGTTAACATGCAAGTCCCTCTACTAAAAAATGAGTCTGTCTATTCAGTGTCTCTTATTTTGACCATAGACTTCCATATATCCAGCATTGTTCAACTTGAAATGAAGTCATTAGTGCCTTTCCAGTACGTTGGTGCTCTTCCTGGAGCAAGCTTGGATGCCATTGCTGATTTGAAGTAAGCCTATGGGAACTCATTGCGGCTTCCAATCATACTAAAAGTGCTAAAAAATTTACACTTTTTCTTTTCAGGTTTATTCAAAAGAAGCCAGTAGACTACAGGATTGCAGAGTCCATCTTCAGATCACCTCTTCTTCTTTCAGACAAAAGCTTAAAGGACTTATTTTTCACATATTCTCAACGCAATTACAGCACAACCCTTATAAACTCATACAGTGTTTGGGCCTTAGGCCGTGATTTAGAGAAAGCATTTGATGTAAAACTTCGAATTGCTGTACCAGATATTTTAATTGTTTACAGACCTGGGTTCTGGCAGGTCATCAAGTGGGCCTGGATACAGTATGTATCCATTTTTATTATTGTCTACAGATTTCTTCAAGTTTTACAGGAATATATCTTCAGCAATCAACTAGTGCCAACATATAAGCTTGTTCCTTGGAAAATAACTTGACATTCAGGAATTATAACTTTCTTTACTGTAAACTAAGGTGATTGTGATAACTATATTAAATACACTATGAAATTTTCATTATGTTCTTTAATTGCATCAAATGTTACTACCCATTGAAAATACAGATGCTGTCAGTTCTTTAGGGAAACACAATGGTTCATACAACCTCTTCTTTAAAACAAACAAAATAAAAGAAAGAAAGGGAAAAAAAAAAAAAAAATAGTACCAAAAACAAAGAACAAACAGTTAAAAAGGGGAAAAAATAGAGTATATCAATACGGTAAAATGGTAAGCTCAGAATAGTGTTTTAGACTCAAATTTTGACGGCTTGGATTCCAAAGTATACTTTACAAAGTTTCAATACAACAAATATTATCTATAAACTGTTACATTAATTCATGGTCCGCCTCAACGAGTACACAGCTTGGTTGAGGCAAAAGCTATTAGCATCTATCGTAACAGGTGCCCACATGATTGACGTTTACTTTATCACTCAACCCAGACAATGGTGTTATATCTGAACATGATGAAACTGATTACAGCAATAGACTTTTTTGTCTTTGTATCAGTTTAACAGGGTCCACAACAGCAGTTCAATATTACCGGTACTCATTTAATAATGTGAAATCTTTTAATTTTTTTAAAAGATTTCTTTTTGTGTCTGTTATGTTTAGTTACAACACCCTTGTCCCAGAAATGTTTATCTTCTTGCTATCAGTGTTAGAAAGTAGATAAGAGAGCTCATGTGTAAGAGCTACCTCCTACAAAATAATCTACCAGCTTTCCTAGTACAGATCATATCAGTATATGATTTCTTGCTAGTATATCCAGCTTTGAACTGGACAAATTAACAAACTTATTCTACTTACAAGAAAATAACAAGACTTGCTACTAAAGCAGTACATAATGTACATGTCTGCACTTTCTACACATATTATACAAACAAAGATCATAACTCACTACATAAAATTTTTCTAAAATCAATACCATAGAGACTACAATAATCAACAATTAAAAAGCAAAAAAAGCAATAAAAAAAAACTTTCAAACTGTATGTCAATGGAATGTTCCAATGCATTGAACAAAAATCATGACATTTTACACGTCTGGAGAATAATGTTACATAACAAGACAAATATACAATACACACATTATAAAACATTTAGGAACAGAAAACAACAAAGGCTAAAGCACAAATTTAGTGCATTCAACATATGTTATTATTGCTCATAGCATTTCAACAAATGAGCCAACTGGCTTGTCATAATCATGATTTTACAACTTTTAGAATAACTCAGGATATTTCGTGATGGGTCAGCAGTACATAAACTAAAGGGAATGAATATGACTTCTCCTAGGAATGATCTGTATTAACAGTGAAAATACATAATGCATTTTATCTAAGTCACAAATAACAATGTTGAACCAGTAGAATGGTAAGCAGTCTTCAGACAAAGTTGATGTATACCATTTTCAAGATTTTTTAAAAAGACAAATTTTTACAGAAGAGAGATGAAAGTACCAGTTCTAGACAAAACTAGTTGCAGAGGGGGAGGAAGAGACGGGATGATAAATCCTTTATGACCCTTCAAGAAGAAAAGCTCAACTGTATACTGTCCGATAGCTCATTTCCCAAAACGTATTTGGTCCATAACAGTGCTCCAGGATTAGTGTCAAGAATTCTTACATATTACCATAAGTTAAATAATCTGAACAGATATTCCTGAAACCTAGGGAGTTTTAAAAATCACTTTGAGCACAGAAAGTTACCCCATTGCAAACACCCAACATACTTTTGAAAATATGTTACAGATCACAAATAGCTTAGGTATTTACCAAATAAAACAAACTTTATGGTCATGTACTTCGTAAGCTGTAGGACATATAAAAAAGATGGGGAAAATTAAAAATTAAGGTCAAAGCATCTAAGTTAAGCAAATTTACAACATTGGTATTTAGTCAGAGGATGATGAGGATGAGGGTGCTTTTGACTTAGGTTCTTGTGATGCAGTAGCCTGTGTTGAAGTTTCAGGTGATGCAGCAACCATTGAGGCTGACAGAGATGATAATGAAGCTGGTGAGTAGGATGCAGATGATGTAGAAGCAGATGCTGATGATCCAGATGCGGAAGATCCAGATGCTGCCGATGTTGAGGGCATAGACGCTGAGGTTGAGGTGCCTGGCGATTGACCATCATTGCTGGGACTTCCTCGAGTTGAATCTGAACAAATAAGGTGTTCCTCAATAACCAGAAATTTTGAGTTGTTACATCCAGAGAATCCATGAGTTAGGAGGGTCTTTACCAATACAGTAGGGAGATCCTTTAATCCTGCATGTATTGTATGACCCGCAGATGGCACACTTTAAAGCTACGACGTGGAATGTGACAGTGGACTCCTGTGAATACAAGAAAAAGTAGAAATGTCTGATAAGCCAACCCTAAAAAATTATGAGATGGAGTTGTTGTATTTACAAAGACAAACCTTATGGCAATCTTTGCACAATATCTCTGCTTTAAAATTCATAAATTCCTCAGGCATAGGAGTATTTTTTATTTCCTCATCAAAGTATTTCCAGAGCTGCAAAAGAGAAAAGTTGAACACAATGTGCAGACCTTCATTAATAACAAAATATTTCATAAGCAGATAAAATTGTTGAGAAAATAGTTAACTTTAAAAACAAAAGTTTGAGATAAATATATCTACAGAATATATTAAACCCCATTCCTGGCCACTAGGTTTAGCAATAGTTTGCCTGAATAAATAAAAGTGTGTGTTGAGGGGAAAAAGGGTAAAACAAACAACTGAATTACGCAAGTATAGTTGCTAAAAACAAAACAAAAAACTACCTAGATTCTGTGAAGGTTTTTTTTTTCTTTAGAGCATTTGGTCTACTATAAAAGTGACTACAACAGTACCTGTTCAATAAAGTATTTTCATTGTTATGAATGAGCTACGTCATTTTTAAACAACAACAAGAAAACCTAAGAATTACTAGGATGTTTAAAGAATTACCCTGCTCATATCTAGTAAAGATGTCTGACAGATGGGACAAGCATAGTGACCAAATGTCAGGAGTTCTTCAAAACAATTGCGATGTAAAAGGTGGCCACAATCCGGAATATGGCATGGCATCCGAGATGTATGAATATCTTCCAAACAGACAGGGCAATTTCCCCGAGACACATTTTCCACACACTGAATGAAAAGAGAAGAAAATTTATTTACAACATGTTAAACAGCACAAGTAGCTATAGCGTCATAAAAATTAGAAGTCAGACCTTGTGTTTATTGAGAAGCTTGATAGGAAGACACATATTGCATTTTTCACAGTGGAAAAACTTGTCTCTCCCACCAATGCGGCAAATTCCACAGCCATCACAATGATACTGCTTTTTATCTTCATCATCAAATAGTTTGCATTCTAGACATGTATACTGCAAAAAAAATTGAAGATTTGAAATCAAAAACAACACTTTTAAATAAGTTCTTTTTCTGTTCTTGTGTTAAGATTTACCTTTCCAAATATAAGGTTGCATTTTTCACAACGAGCTTGGACTTTCTGCCTAGTGTTACAGCTGGTACACACTAATTCTGTAACATCTTTACGATTGACAGGGTGATTTTCATTCTCATCATGGCAGAAGCGACAAGTATAGACTTTGTTGCAACAAGGGGTCTGGAAAAAAATAAAATAATCATTATTCAAATTTGGTTAAAATATGCCTCACAAGTAAAATGAATTTGATTCTATAGGTAAATTTAAATTTATTTTAAAAGGAACTGTGAGACAGTAATTGATAACCCCACCCATTCATAATTACAAATGTAAAATGCAGTCCAGTTAGGCGTTTGGGTCATTCGAGTATACTTTAGAGACATTATTAGTCAAATTACTTTCATATTGTAGATTAGATGGGAAAGCAAGAGAGATTTCCTTCAATAATTTAACTAGGACAATTGATCATTCAGACACAGCCAAACATTCTGTTGTTTGTTTTTTATTAAAAGGGGGAATGGAAATGTACTTGATTGGGATGGCTACAATGCCCAATTGACATCCATTTTCAAAATATTACTCTAATACCAGGAAAGAAGTGAGCTGCAAAAATTGTCCAAAAACTTGTTAGAGTTGAAGGGGGTCAAATAATTCTGTGCAGTCGAAACACTTTCTCCAAATGATGCGAGGCTCTTAAAATCTGATTGAAATTTTCTGCTGTATCTTCATACTTACGACAAATTTGGATCTCCTCTGATAATGACAACAGCCAACGTAGGATCCTCCCTCGGCCGGTGCAGTGGAAGTAGTGGAGACTGTGCTACCTTCCTCCATCACGACAGACGTCGAAATATTAACTATTACACAAAATTACTTGTATTTTTATCAAGACGAAAACTACGACGAAAAGTCTGCCAGTCAAAGCCAGCTGGGCTACTACAGTGACTGTTGTACGTTCTTTACAGCGAATCACGTGACGTGCTTTGCCACGCTGATGTCATATAAAATCGATTATACATTCGATATTTTACTTTCCTATTAAACAAAATATTTAAAAGGGGGTGACTTGAGCTAAACTTGTTTTTTTTTTAATCTGACGAAAGATTTTTTTCATTTGGAAATTACAGGGAGCTCTTCGAGATTCATTCCGGGATCAAGGAAAGTGGGTGGATGTCTGGAAAATAAACTGCGCATGCGCAAACAGAAATTGTAACATTTACCATTACCAACACAACAGAACAAGTACTAGTACCGGTTAATCTAAAATATTTTTACTATTGTCTAACATTATCGTCCATGTGTGATGAATGGTATTTTGCCGATAGAACTTACACAGAACTACAAGTATCACATACTTCCAATAATGCTGCTGCAGCTCAAAATTGTGTAGGAGGGGAATGCTGAGTGTTCGGCAAAGCAGCATTTTGGGCCCGCGCAACCGAAGAGAAATGGGGCTGAGACTTTGGTGAGCGTGTGTTGGTATGGGATGGAAAAAGTGTTCCGAAATGGCGTCGGATACAGATAGGCAAGTGAATTCGTCTCCAGCAAAACGGCTTAAACTCGATCATACGGACCTTTTATCGGATTCAAGCGTTGAAATAAGCATCGGGAGTGTCCCTGCACCGGGTAAGCCCAGCCAAGATGGGTTTGATCCCGGGATGGATCCCCCTGAAAGAGTTTTAGACGGCGGGGATCCTCGATTCAGGCCTAGGTCTAGTCTTTCTCCGAGTAGGCCTAGGGAGCCTGATGGCCCACAGCCTTCAACATTTGACATCTCAGTCTGCGGCATCGACATCGTTTCCGCGGCGTCTGCTGTTGCAGAGGATGTCCAACAGGAGGTTGATGTTCAAGAACAGGACGACGATGACGACCGTGATGAAGTATCGTCCACAGTGAGCAGCCTATCTATAAGTGGTTTGTCAGATATGAGTGGGCAAGGCTGGAAACCTGTAGTGGGACCTATGAGTTGGGTGCAGCGCCAAATGTTGACGGGTGTCAAACCAAGGGAGATACTCAATCACTTTGGTGCAGACCCCACTGACATTCCCCTTGACATGGATGATATGACCCTATGGAAGATCATTGTTAATATGATGACTGTACCCCCTAGGAGACCAAAACTCCGAGATGTTAATACTCTTCAGGACGTTGTTGGGCTCATTAAAAATTGCAGCCGCATTATAGTCCTGACTGGCGCAGGTGTCTCAGTCTCATGTGGCATTCCAGATTTCAGAAGTAGAGATGGTATATATTCAAGATTAGCTGTTGATTTTCCTGACTTGCCAGACCCTCAAGCGATGTTTGACATAAACTACTTCAGTCAAGATCCTCGACCATTCTTTAAGTTTGCTCGAGAAATCTACCCCGGTCAGTTCAAACCGTCATTGTGCCACCGATTTATAAAGAAAATTGAAGACCATGGGAAATTGTTGCGAAATTATTCTCAGAACATTGATACACTGGAGCATGTTGCTGGCATTAAAAATGTTATTGAATGCCATGGATCATTCTCAAATGCATCATGCACTCGATGCAAGCACAAAGTGACTGCTGAAGAAATCCGTGAAGATATCATGCAGCAGAAAATCCCTCTGTGCCCAAAATGTTTTCATTCAGGAATGTCAGAGTCATGTTCTGCACAGGGAAGCACAACAGACTACAGCTCGTTATTTAACAAGGGAATCATGAAGCCGGACATCGTGTTTTTTGGAGAAGGGCTTCCTGAAGCTTTTCATGATGCTATGGCTGCTGACAAAGATAATTGTGACTTGTTGATTGTAATAGGATCTTCGTTAAAAGTTCGTCCTGTTGCTTTGATCCCAAATTCCATCCCAGCTCATGTTCCTCAAATCCTCATCAACAGAGAACCATTGCCTCATTTGAGATTTGACATTGAGCTTTTGGGGGATGGTGATGTCATAATCAATCAACTATGTCATCTCTTGGATGATAGCTGGTCAGATTTGTGCAGTCAACCAAAATTATTGGAGGCAGGGCATCTCCTCCCCTCATCGATTGAAAAGAAAAGGGTGCAGTATGGAAGTGAAAGAAGAAAAAGTCTTGATGAAAATAAGTCAGTGAAATCCCTGGAGTCTGACATTGGAACAAGTTTATCTTCTGATGAAGACGTCAACAGAGTTCTCAAAGAAGTTATTCCCGAAGCTGGTGTTAACCCTGTTGTAGTACTTTCAAATGAAGAAGTTCTTAGTGCATTAGATGACCATGTCATGGCTACTGAGAAGAGTGAATTTGATGGGGACGTCAAATTACGACACATGTCTGTAGATTCTACACCAGATAGTGATGTTGAGGCTGGATCATCATGTTACATCAAGGAAGCTGATGCTGAATTGGAATCAAGGATTGCTGCATGCGTGGCTAATAGTAATGTGCCTGTTCCTAGTATTCCTGCATCAGCTAAAGAAAGACACATGTCTCTTGATTCTACCAGAGATTCTGGGATAGGAGACAGTTGTAATAGTGTAGATAGCAGTGTGGACAAAGACAGAGATATCAACGCAGAGTCCACAAGTGACACAACAAGCTGCTCATGGAACAAGGCGAAAGAAAGCCTGGCATCACGTCTTCCTGTCAATTGCTTCCATTTCGTGACCCCAAGCCGGTATATATTCCCAGGTGCAGAAGTCTTTGTTGAAAGATCCCATTTCAATGATTCCAGCAGTGAATCTGGAAGTGATTCACATGAGTCAACTGATGAAAGCTTTGAAGATCAGGAAATGGAAATAGACCTTGATAGTGAAAAAGAACCACAACACAGTGAGAGCAACTCTTCATTAAATGCTGAAGAGAGTGTTGACAAATCACAGCAAGATGAATGTAACACTTTATCTTCGCCTGTCAACTTGTGTGACTCTACTGTTCATTAATTTGTTATTCTTCTTTGTTTGGAAGATTGTTGTTATTCATGTGTGTACAGCGCTTCACGCAACTCATATTTGATTTAGTTATTTGTTAATCAACTTTTACATTGTGTACATAGCGGTCTATTTTATTCTGTCAAAAGCCATCAACATTTTTCCTTTGTATAAAATCCTTTTTAATATCAATTCTTCCTCCATGATACTTCCTTTTCTTAAATAATTATAGCTGTCAGATTCATTGTTGTATTTTGTTCCTTTGTGTTTTTATAAGTGTGGTCTTTTGCAGTGTGTGGCTTCATCACTTTTCATCTAATGTTGATTTTCATTTAATTTACAGATTTGATGACAATATGAAGAGCATTTATAAAAGAGTTGTTCCTTGTGATATTAAGTATTGTTCGTACGTGGTTTGGCTGGGTAACTTTGATTTCTGTATGAAAATGTATAGTATGTATGTGTGCTCACGTGTTGGACATTGATGTGTAGGTCTCTACTTGTGGTGTTTTTATTCATTTTATGTTAAGAAGCTAAAGTTTCTTATGTAAATTAAATTTTTGTACTGAAAGATGACGACGATAATGATAATATTGATAATGGCCCTGAGTAGAAGCACGTACTTTGATTTTTTGACTGTCCATCAAGTAGAATTGTGCCTGAAGTGGTTTGGTAGTATAGGTATCTAAATTTACTTAAAACAATTAAAGATTTTCATTTTGATCTTCACAAACCATTATGAAAAACATGTCCTTGGTGCCATTTCACATTTATTTGTAAATTTTTTGTAAAGCCTTAACTTTTATAGTACTATCAATTTTTTTGTGTTGCTTGTTGATACCAGATATGACCTGAAGAAGAATCTTGATAAAAACTTATCATAGTTCTATGATTAACTTAAAATTTTTATTTTTCAAAGGCAACTTATTGAAGCTTTAAGTGTAAATTTCATCTGGTTTTGTTCTTTTCAATAATTATTTTTATTTTTGTTATAACTGTCAGTTCGGTAGCTCTATAGTACAAAATATGCTGATCCTAGGTTGGATTAGTGACTTAAAATGATTTTTGTATAATAATCGTAATTGAAGGTGCTCTTTTTTCTGTTATCGTAACACATTCATTGCAGTTGTCCCTCAGTTAAAATTTTCTCAGCTGGTGAACTATTTTTGTGTATACCAATACACATTTTGGTTGATAGATAATTGAGCATTTGGCAAGAGACAATTCTGCTGTCAATGTGTTTCAGGCTAACTTGTGCAGAGCAGTCGTTATGTTTAATGCTGCGCCACAAGGACAGTGGACTGCTGAATGTTACTTTAAATGAAATATATTAGTATCTGCACAAAACAATTGTGCAGTGTTTTGTTGATCTGCCGTCATAATGTACGGAAGAGTTGATTAATATATTTAATATGCCAGCATGTTGGATTAAGTGTACTGTTAATATTTGTTTGAAGTTATGTGGTCTGGTTTTGAATTTAATGTACTTGATGTAAGAGTTGGGAAATACCAGTTTCCTGTTCAACAATCAAACAGCAATCATGTTTTAAAGGTTTTTAAAAGTAATTCTCTGTAAAATGTGGGTGGGTGAGTGTGCGCCCGCGCGTCTGTGCGTTCGTGTGTGTGTGTGTGTGTGTGAGTGAGTGAGTGAGTGAGTGAGTGAGAGAGAGTGAGTGAGTGCGCGCGCGCGCGCGCTTATGTGTTTTGTACACATGTGGGACATGTCCCAACCAAGATCTCAGTAGGGCTCTCTGGCTATTCTTTTCTAAGTATGAAATGCTGCAGTGCAGCAAGGTAATATTATTTGTGTATATATGATTTTTAGGCAGATACTGTTATATTTGCCCTTCCCATAGAGCAGTTGATTGTGTTTTCTATCTGCATTATTAGATGCATGTGTTTGTGATTTTAGATGAAGAAAGCTCACATCGGTGTCTTTACTGTTTTTACTTTTTTTTCTTTGAATTGTAATATTATTTAGAAATTTTTGTAATTGGTCATGTTATCAAATCATGATAAAATGAACTATTCTGGTAACTGTGTTTTGAAAATATTTTGTAAAACGATTGTGCTTTTTTGGTGAAAATGCTGATTACACTGATAATCATTCAACTATAGAAAGTGAAAACTAGCGTCTAACATTTCTCCATATTATCCTTGCTTCAAGCTTTTAAGTGTGATAGTTGCTCTTCTCTGGCTTTCCCATAGAGCTTTAAAAAAAATATATATTGTGTTATCATTGGAATTTTTACTTGACTACAGCCCTGGTCTAGCAGAAGCTTATGTGTTTGTGGATACTTGTGAGATTACACCCACTACATTTTGTTTCTTTGTAGTTTGAAGGAAGAATTCCAGCATGAAAATTGTTTAATTCCAATGTGAATAATTTTTTCCTTCATCAAGCTGATACTTAAATAGCCTGGTATTTCAGCTTCCCTGAAATCAAGCACCCGAAGTTTCAAAAACAAACAATCAACAAAACTAAGCATTTGTACTGCACAGGGAAATCAGAGTGGAACAATACTGAGTTATGGAAATGAGATTGCAACCACCTACAGAACAGTCATAATCTAAGGATCCCTAATTAAATATTACATCTCCGTCCAGGGCATGTTTTACCTTAAAAATAATTACTCATATTATTAAGGAGTATTATTTGTAACCATTGAGTTTTCCCTTTGGACTACAGAGAAGCGAGAGAGAAAGACCGAGTGAGAGAGAGATTAGGCACTCAGTGTTTATTTGTGGTGAAGATGAATCAGATTAAAAAGTGAACAGTGTCTGTACCAAAACTGACCAAAGGATTGTGCACAAGCCACTCATATCCATCTTAGCTTTATTCCTATTTGGTCAAAATCAAATTGGGGGTAAGAATTGTGGAATACTCTTTAATGTGACCACATTTGTAAAAGTTTTGCTAGTGTTTTTATCAGCTTTGACAGTTGAACACAGAACTGCTATCTGTAAATAAGGTGTATTCTATTTTTAAATTGAGGATGTAGTAATTATCTCTTATATGTACAATCACTAACTTTGTTTCCTGATATATTTTTATGAAGGATGACTGTTTAACCGTGCTTCTCAAAGTAAAATGATTGTTTCATAGAGTTGTCCATAGCATTGATGAAGCAAAGAACAGTCATAATTGTTTGATTAATACTGTGCAGAAGTATTGTTGAAAAATTAATAGATTGTAAGCAGCATTTTTCCTATCTTCATAAAATATTTCTCTAATTTATATGTACATTGATGTAGTTTCAGTATGATTTCCAGTACATCTTGACATTTGTAAAACAAATTGAAATTGGTCTTCTGTACATGTAAACTCCTGAAACTGATATAATTATCATGTTTGTTGAAGCAAGTTGGGCTTTAAAAAAAAAACCTACATGACAAAGCATGAATGTTAAATGTGCAAACACTGGAAAAATAAACAAGTTTTTATTGAAAAGCATCCAATAATTTATATCTGTTCTTTTGCAATCCTAGTAGCGGATTAAATAAGCTAATAAAAAAAATCAGTAAAAAAATCTTGTATGATATAAACATCACAATCTACACAGCCACAGAGTGAAAAAGTAGTGAATGTTGATTTGGAATACAAAACATATTTCATCCTGAGAATTCAGATGCAAAAATCCACTTAGTGGAAACAAAACAGAAAGACCCTCAAAGTTGTAACAAAAACTTGCAGACCATCACCGACACACACAAAAAAAAATTGTAATATAAAAGCAATCAGATACAAGAGCAGAGATGATGGCAAGGTGCTCAAAAATTGCAGAGTACAGCACAAAACACATACTGAATCAGTATAAACTTGTTCCCCCCTCCCCTCCCCTCACATATATATCTTACATTAACTTTCTTAGACTACCCTCATGGTTTGGACAAAATCCCAACTTTTCGCAGATAGCGTACAATGAAAGGAGTACAAAATAGGGTAATGCTTAAACGAACTGGCGCAAACATTTTATGGACAGCATATGCAATAACAAATGCTCCCACCTCTCCAGCAACCTCTGGTGAGAAGTCCTTGAAGGCGAAGATACCCCTCACATCGATTCCACTGTAACAAAAATCAAGCCAAATACATTAAAAATGCTGCTCTTATAACATAGCAACAAAATTTAAATCAAAGTGAAAATCTCAGAAAATTAAGATAAGAGCATGATGATTTATGATATGGAACAAGGGACACAAAATTATTGTACAATGGATAACGCATTTAAACATAATAAAGTAAAAAAAATTAACAGAAACAATCGAGCATTAAAAAAAAAAAAATGAATCACCTGGAAGGCTGTATTGACAATATACAAACCTTGTGACGGCCAGATAGAAGCCACCAAGTGAAATCAGAGAAATGCTGATATGGAATACAATCACTGTTGGTCCATAATCTTTGACTGCCTTCACATATTTAGACATTTTAGTTTTCTTTTCACTATTTTCTTCACTACTTTTAGGACTTTCTGCAGCTGAACTAAAATGACGAAACTGGAGATGTGGCCCTAGTGCTTTCGAATTTAATGGATAGGTACCTTTTTTACCCCCAAGAGAAGTGGCTGCAGCATGTGCTCCAAGATCATTATCTTTGATGTTGGTATAGTGAGAGTTTTGTAGATCCTGTGCAACATACTTGTCAGAGCGCCCCCACTCTCCCCCTGGCATGTTCAAGTGGGATGACTTTCCTTTCGATGTATATGGGTCAGGGACATTAGACTGCATTGCCGAGTTCAGACTAACTGTGCCTGTACAATCATAACTCTGAAGAAAGCAATCAGCAGAGAGATCTTGTTTCGTGGACGGTGTAATGGTAGAGCTTTGAGTGAATATTACGTCTCCAGTAATGTCACGGGCCCTCTGAGGTGAGAAGCGCCCTGTTTCAATTGCATTAATGTCTTCAACATTAGAGGGAAGCGGAATATCCTTGGCATCAGGATAGGAAGAAGCTGAAGTTAAGTGGATATCCTGGGTAGATTTCTTGAGAGGTTGTAGTTTTTCCAAGTTTTTTAGTCCTGAAATGTTTGAATATAAACAAGTACCTTAGGCATTAAGAAGAATACAACTAAACTTACAGTAAAATGAAAAAGTTGATAAGAATAAAATTGAGAACATAAACTAAAGGAGGAAGAGGAGAGACAGGTAAAAGTGGCATAAAATTTTCGCAGATAAAACAAAAAAAATAATCTGAATGCTAACCAATGTGGCTTGATCGGAACAAGATGCCCAGATTCAAGGATCTTTGCTGGAGCAAAAATTGGCCGTAACGGAGAGCCATGATAACAATGTTCGAAAGGTACTTTGCCGTGAACGTCAAATAACCATTGGACTGATAAATGCCAAATATAGTTGCGTTTGTAGTCTTCAACTTCTACACCTCCCAAGACCAAGACCAAACCACCAAACACGCAGAATGTCAGCTGTCAGGGCCTGGCACTGCTGCCTTCGCTGCGTCACGGAGGTATTCGGCGTCAAGAAGTAATGAAGAAGCACGTCTCATTTGTATGAGTTTTGTCGTCTGCTTTCGACCAATCACAGGCCACTGCTCCGAACAAATGAGCTCCACCGCTGCTTCTTCCTTCTTTACGCTTTGCATCTTCACATTTCACACACATCATCACGAGATCACAGACAGCAACAGATGTGTTATGTCAAAAGGCGGTTAGCTTGTTTTCAGTCTCAAAGCCGACAGACGCGACAAACCGATCACAACAAACTATAGAAGTGAAACTTTCTTTCAATTCAATAAACCACGACGGATATATTGAGATATATATCCATCTCATTCGGGAAATTTTCTGTCACATATTTTTATAATGGGCGACAAGTTAAAAATGTAAGTGGGTCTCCTGATTGAAAAGTGAAGGTTAGTTTTTGCAACATTAAATAATGTTTGTATGTTTTTTTAACCCATGGCTCAAATTTTAGTTTGGTTTCCGGTGATGTCCGTGGAAAATTCAAGTCTCTCATGAAGAGAGTGTCCTCTGTCAACGAGAAAAGTGGTCCATTTGATTATCTACTTTGTGTCGGTGACTTTTTTGGGCCATCTGACGATGAATGGAACATGCTGAAGAGTGGCAAGATTGAGGTTCCCATCACTACATATGTTCTTGGTCCAAATGATGTGGAACACACCGTAAAATATTCCGACATCAATGGTTGTGAACTCTGCCCCAACATAAGTTATTTGGGTAAACGGGGGGTTTTTACGACTAGTAATGGATTGAGGATTGCTTACATTAGTGGTAAAAGCGACGGTTTGTCTGATTGCTCTTTTTCTGAGAGTGATGTCACATGTGTACGAGATGTATGTTTAAAAGGGCAGGCAAACTTCAAGGGTGTAGATGTTCTTGTTACTTCATCGTGGCCACAAGATATTTCAAAATTTCATGATAAAGCTGTAAGTGCAAATTTATTAACATGAAACTTTATTTTCTTACAAGTCACTTGAATACTTGTTTTTGTCTTCAGGACAAAGATCTTCCAGTTGGTTCACATCTATTATCATGGTTATCAGCTCACATCAAACCTAGGTACCATTTCTCAGGCCTTCATGACAAGCATTATGAACGTTCGCCATACAAGTAAGTAATTTAGTCCAATCAAAACTGTAGATGTGACTCAATACCATTCAAACTTTCTTTTCTGTGGAGGAATGAATCTGCCCAAGGAGATACATCTCAACATAATACAAGGTTTCTTGCTCTAGCATCTGTTGGCAATCCCACTAAACAGAAATGGTTGTATGCACTTAGTATAGTTCCAATGGAGCATATGCGTGCATCCGAGTTGTATCAGGGCACAACGGATGAGACTATGTCACCATTTTCTGGGCTTGTCCGTCTTTCAAATCCAAGGGGAGTTCAGGTAAATCTTACCAGTTAAAGTAATGCAAGCGATAATTCTTTTGAAGCAGATATGTAATCTAAAGCTATTTCGATGTATAGGAAAAGTCAACACAATTCTTTTATGATATGAATGCCTCATCAGATAGCAGGAGAGGGAAACGTGGAAGAAATGATGATGGAGGCCAGGAGAGGAAAAAACGGGAAAGACCTGTTTTTGACCAGGGTTAGTATAGTATAAATATTATTAAAGGAGTATAATTTAAATGAACCTTTGCTAATTTAATTTTTAAAGAATTCAACTATTATTTATCTTGATTTATTTTTTCTAGAAAAATGTTGGTTTTGTCTTTCAAGCCCTCAAGTTGAAAAACATCTTGTCATTAGTATCGGAACTGAGGCTAGTATATTTATCGTGGTGTTTATGTCTTTGTTTGAAATCAGTGGGTTTGCCTTGTTTTATCATATCAATCACTTTCATGTTGTAGGCATACTTAGCTTTGGCCAAGGGAGGTATTGTTGATGATCATGTTTTGATTCTCCCTGTAACACACCACCAGTCAACTGCGGAGGCCTCACAAGAACTTTTAGATGAAATTGAAAGGTATTCTAGTATATATAGATATACACACATATATAAATTTAAAACATACGCAGTGTTTTCAAATGTTTTATAGATTTTACAAATAATTTGTATCTAAATAATAGTAATGTAAACTATTTTGATTGACTCCCTCCACAGGTTTAAAGAGGCTTTAAAAAAAATGTGCTCCAAACAGAAAAAAGCTGTGGTTTTTTATGAACGTAACTATAAGACATCTCACATGCAAATTCAAGCCATTCCAATTCCAGAGAATGCTACAAGAGAATTGCGAGAAGTTTTTCAGGTATGACCTACCATTTGAAACTACAGCTGAAAACAATGAGTCAAACTTTCTAATAATGGGTCTATAGTAAGAACTACATTTTTTAATTTTTTTTTTAATTTTAAATAGGATTGCGCTCAAGCAGAGGGCTTTGAGTTAGATGAACTTCCTAAACATGCCAAACTAGACCAAATTGCTGGTGCAGGAGTTCCATACTTCCATGTAGAGCTCCCCAGCGGAGATAAACTCTATCATCGAATTCGCAAAAACTTTTCCTTAAATTTTGGACGGTAAATTTATTGTGAACCTGTATACTCACTTGTTTTTGACAACTTTTAATATTTAAATATTGCTTGCAGGGAAGTCCTTGCCAGTGGACCTATTCTGAACAAGGAGGGTGCTGCAGATTGGCGTGATTGTAAACAAGATAAAGAAGATGAATGTGCCCTTGTGAAACGTTTTAGAGCAGCATTTTCACCCTATGACTTTACTCTTGAATAAAAAGTTATCTTCTAGTTTGTAATTAAAATAGCAAAAACAAAACAAGTAAAAACATTTGTACGTACAACTAAATCATTTTTACTGTAACATGTTATTCATCCTGAATATGTTGGGTGAAATCCACTAAAACCTGTTCCTACTCCAGTTTGTGACTGTTGTTGCTGTTGCTGTTGCTGCGATGTAGAGAAACCTCCAAAATTGCTCCCAAAATTACCAGCATTTGATGGGTATAGTCCTCCATAGCTCAAGGGACCTCCCATTTGTCCATATGGAGTAGGAGCCAAGTATGGTAAAGATGGAAAACCTCCAAAAGCTCCTAATGGATTAGGGAAGAAGCTCCCTATAGGACTTAAGGAAAGAGGCACACCACTGAAAAAGCGTGAAGATGATTTCCCCTGCCACACAACCGATTTTAGTTAAAAATGGAAACCAATTAGTCACCTATATAAAACTTAAAATCTGTCCAATCTTACCTCATTTTTACCCACAGCATGTACAGTTGGACCATGGGATACTTTAGGTTCTTTGCCAAAGCTGGTAGCACTTTTCTTTGAAGCTGTAGTTAAACAAATAGTTGCACTTGCCATCAAGAAAAGTACTACGACCACAAAATTAAATTTCTAGAAAATATTTAAGATTAAAATTAAATTGTATTCTCCATTTTTACTCGTTCTTTACCTCCCCTTACTTTATATACCGTGAGGTAAAAAGAACGAGTATTGTCCTTGGTGTGGTATAATTTAGAAACATCTGTTCATCTCTGTAAGTAAGGAGCTTACAAGTATGAATGAATGCTTATTCTACTCAGGGAATCAGCCCTGATATTCCATAATAGAGGTTTTTTTCAGTTACCAGTCAAAAATTTTACTGCCTAGTAAAAATTTCTAAGTGTTTTTAAGCTATGAGCTATGTGGTAGTGACTGTGAGTGCACCATTATATTATTATACTGAGTTACTAAATTACTCGTATGTATGGCATACACACTTATTTGGTTACTAGTTGATTTTTTTTTATACAAAATTAACTTTTTGCAAAACACCCTTGTAAGATAAAAAGAGACACTTTGCAAACACCCAAATCAAAAGTATCTTCCTGGGAGCTATAGCAAGCCAGTGGCGCCATCTGCTGTTAGAAAACGACCCCGGGCCGGCCTTCAAACAAAAGAATGAACTCAACAATGTATAGGGAGAAAAGTTGGTAGGGTAGAAGGGAAGACCTGATCATGGTCTACTATTATCTGTGAAAAGTGCAATAATCTGGTTGGTATATTATTAAAACTGATACCCTCATACTTAAAAACTTATTGCTTAAAAAGGTGTGTATGAATTGCATAAACTTTAACTAATATCTGATGTGTCTGTCACTAACATTTCTCTTCTAGCCATGTCACGTTACGTTACGTTATGTTTGAAAGGAACTGGAAAATGAAAATATGCTATTAACGAACTGGAACCCTGACACTAACATTTCTCATTTAGCCATGTTTGAGAAATATGTTTGAAACAAATTGGAAAATGAAAATATGCTATACACGAACTGAAACCCTTGTGAAATTACACAATAAAAACCATTTTAGATTCCTATGACTTCCCCACCAACAATTACAGTCGCTATTAGATTTTACAATTTTGATAAAAATAGCCCGACATACTTCGGATTCTTCTGTTGCAAAGTGAATCTCATTATCTTAAAGGGTGTTTTGCAAGAAGTTGATTATGTATGAAAAAGACTAAACCAGTAACAAAATAGGTATGCATGCCATATACATATGAGTAATTCAGTATAGTGATACAATACTGCATATTTACAATCATAACCACATGAAAGTTTGCTAAATTGTTGCTAAATGTTTCACTACAACTTTACTAACTTATAATAGATGTTTCTATGTTGTCACACATCACTGAAAACACATCATATATTCAGGGTTGGAGTAAAGAACGAGTTTATCTTTTTAACAGCAAATTAATTTGATGTTTCCTGTGCTCCTTGTTTTTTTTTCTTTTTGTCTCTGAAGAGTAGTTCACATTCATAATTTTCCTTACTTCCATGTTTGAAGTGGTGATGGTACTTCCCTGGTAGTGTGCTGGAGCTGTGTCGCTCAAACTGCACAAGAAGGTTGAGTGAGTGTCCTGGCCAGCTTACTTCCAGAACTGGAACTAAAATTACCATACTCGTTTCTTTGGCTCCGGTAGAGCATTGTCCTTCGGACTGATAAGGACTTGTGCGAGCGAGCGTCCCATGCTAGCCGCTAGCCTTAGTTCCTTTCAAACGGGGAATGAGGTATTTTATTGGTATAAAGAAGATCAGGAAGAACAAGCCAGAACATAACAAGCCTTCAACTGTTTTTCGGAAATAGACTGCTTTGCAATTGTTTTAGCAGACGATTTCCGAAAAACAATTGAAGGCTTGTTATGTTCTGGCTTGTTCTTCCAGGTCTTCTTTATACCAATAAAATACCTCATTGTGTGTGTGTGGGGGGGGGGGGGGAGTCATTTGAAGTACCTTACAATTGTGCCATGGAAGTGTTGACAGATTACCTCGATGGGGACAACGTAAAACGATGTTTTCTCATACAGCGGGCAAGGAAACGAAAGGTCGTGTGATCAGAAGATTTGGAGCAATGCCTGTAAAGATGGCAACCGGCTACAAGCAATAATGGTGAATGAGCTGCAAGACCCTGCCATGTCATTAAAAAAGTCACTAGTTAAACCAAAAAAATTGTTTTTTTGTCGTCTCAATTATGTTATGAACTTTAATGTGACAATTCTATTTTACTTAGAGATGGAGATGGACAATCTGTCCACCTTGGCTTGGCTGTTGTCGGTGTTATCACAGACAGCTGAACCTTGCTGATCAGCTTGTTCGAGCAAGTAACCAGTTGTCCTTGGCTCCTTTTCCCTCAAGCCACTTAAAACCATTAGGTGCAACTCCCTCAACCTAGTTCTCTTATCTTGGCAAATACAAATGTATTAAATTACAAGAAAGGAGTTCAATTGTATTTTATTATGTATTAGGTATTTGCAACATATAAAAATTAAAATTTGGGCTTGTATTGCTCCATATAAATGTACTTTGGAAACACTTTAAAGAAATGACTTCAATGTGGGATAACTGCATTCTTGACACGCAAGAATGCATCCTCCTGGTCTTGGGCACACTTCTCAAGTCTGTCAATTTCATCGATATTTTTGGACAATTGTGCTTCGTAGTCAGAAATATTGCCACGAGCTTTGGAAACCTGACTGAATAATGCTTTAACTTCTTTCTCCTTAGCTTCACACATACAACTCAGCTGAGTGGATTTACTCCTTAAAATTTCCATGTCATGAGATCGAATATCTTCAGTCACTGAGCCTGATGGTCGCCAAGCAATTGTACCTTCAAAGTTCTTCTGCTGTTTAATAATTTCTTCTCGTCGTTTCAGAAGTTTATCAAGTTCTTCTTCCTTTACAATTTTTTCAACCTCCTCACAAAAATCTGTAAAAGAAAGAGAAATTTGTCGTAGAGTATAGTTTTGGACAGGCAAAGAAATATGAGACCACACTTTCCCCTAAGAATGGACGTGAATATTTTGAGATATGTCGACATTGGAGAATTCAGAAGCACACTTACTTTTGACCACTTTCTGTTTGAAAATACTAGTGAGACTTAGTAGTTTCTTATGTTTAATATTAGGAATTCCAGATATCGCAGCTAAGAGGTCTTCGTTCCTAATGAGTAACAAGAACATGGAGTCAAATAGTATGCATCAGATTGTTTGAGATACAAGTACAGAATTAAGGTTTAAACGCACTGAAAGCCTACTGCATCTTCAACAGCTTTCCGTAATTTAACTCTGAAGAGCTGAAGCTGCTTCCCTTCCCCTAATTCTTCAGACATATTGTGTTTTAAAGAGAGACTTATTATTATTACTTTAGTAATTCAAATTCACAAGCATGCTCATCTAATTTAAAAAAAAAAATCACACGCTTGTACACTTGTACTTGTACATCTTTCAAATTCAACGTCTAGGCAGCAGACGACGCTGGTTGTTGTACTAGTAGGATGGCCAACATAATTTCCTGTATACCCATTTATATTTTGTCGCAGTTTAACCAAGTTTTAGCGTGTTTTTTACGTGTTGCGTTGTGGAAAAGAAAAAGACGTCAAATTCAAATCTTAAAAGGAGGTGAGCGCACCATCACACGGTGCGTTTCCCCCTACGATTCCGTTCCAGGAGATGGTGTTTCGGAGGAGTGGAACGATGCTCTTTTATTTATGTAAACAAAGGAGGATTTGAAATCTTGTTGGTTGTCGTAACCGGACCGGCGGATGGCGGATGGCGGATAGTGTGGTGATGACCAGTTTGAACTTGTAAATCTCCACTCGTAAATCTTTTAATTTTTTTATTTGCAGAAGTTGATGGTTTCTCGTTGCAAACGCTTCAAATTCTGCCTTATTTATTTTATTTAATGCAAAACAATCTTTGACGTGTGACTTTTAAAAACTGTAAGTGATGGCAATATGCTTTTCTATGTCCATGTGTACACCACAACATTGTAATCAATACTTTTCTATGCTTAGATTACACAATGACTACTTCAGACTGCCCATCACTGGAGCGCCATTTCCGTGGACATAAGGACACAGTAACAGCGTTAGCTTTCAACCCAGCCCAACAACAACTTGCATCATGCTCTCTGGACAATTCACTAATGTTATGGAATTTCCACAAAACTGTGCGAGCTTTCCGGTAGGTATAGCAATTTTATGTTTTATTGCTCATACTTTTGTCAAGGTGCACTCAGTAGTTTTAGGTATCATCATCTGGATAAATTTTCATTTTTGTGCAGGTTCCTGGGCCATACTGATGGTGTCATGGATCTTACTTTTTCTCCATCGGGTCATCTAGTTGCCTCAGCATCTCGTGATCGTTCAGTTCGCTTGTGGGTACCAAGTGCTGTTCGAGGGACATCAGGCGAATTTCGTGCACACACTGCAACAGTGCGCTCAGTACATTTTTCTCCTGATGGGCATCAATTAGTTACATCCTCAGATGATAAAAGTATTAAACTTTGGTCTGTAGCCAAACGAAGATTTGTTTTGACTCTTCACGGACACAGCAATTGGGTCAGATGCTCTCGATTCTCACCAGATGGTAATATGGTGGCTTCCTGCGCAGATGACAAATCAATCAAGTTGTTTGATCCAAGGAGTGCTAAATGTACTCACTCATTTCAAGAGAGCAAAGGTATATTATCCCTTAGTAAGGTATGTAAATGTGTATTACTTATTTCTAAATGGGAAAAATTTGCACATTTTTATCTTACTGTTCAACAGGACATGCTGTCAATGTGGAATGGCATCCTAGTGGAACATGCATTGGAGCAGCACTGTCAAATAACATAGCAAGAATATATGATGTGCGAGCAAAACGAGTAGTTCAACATTACTGTAGTCATGAAGGTGCTGTCAATCGGGTAGCTTTTCATCCTAGTGGTAATTATTTACTTACTGCTAGTCAAGATGCTACAATGAAGGTGTGTGAACTTGTGCTTCTTAGTCATACTGAGATGAATGAAGTAACTGACAAGTCTAATTCATTCACCAGGTCCTTGATCTTCTTGAAGGACGCCCCATTTTCACCCTACAAGGTCATGAGGGTGCCATTACATCTGTTGCATTCTCTCCTTCTGGAGAATACTTTGCATCATCTGGTGTGGACAACCAGGTATTACCATGAGTCATTCATAGAAAACTAGTCTTTTGTTAGCTAAAAATGAAAACAATGCCTTCTTGTTGTTTTGATAGGTCTTTGTATGGAAAACCAATTTTGATGCTGAGGATTGGCAGTCAGCTCTTGGAGAAGAAGCAGCTGGGTTGAATGAAACTGTAGCTGAATTGAATTCCCCTGTAAAGTGTAGAGTTGATGCTAGATCCGTATTGAAAGAATTGCAACAGCCCAATGTACAGGTTTGTGACCTTACTCTGTATATTCATTATCATCTTATTGATTATAACTTCCAAGGCTTTTTTTCCTTAGTTTTTTTAACTTTCTTTTTAATTTTCTCTCGTTTGCTTTTCTCTCTATTCAAAAAAATTTGTTAAGGTGACGACAGTTAATCAACCACTTGAAAAAAGGAATTCTGATTTTGAAAATGATGGTATGCAACCAGACAAGAATGATGGTATTTCAAAGTAAGTTTTGACTACTCATGGTCAACTGATTCTCCGGTTGGCCTTTTCCACACTTCAATTATGCTTATTGTTACAGGAAAGAATCTATTTGTAGCTGCCTTAAAAAACATGCAGAAGAGCAAAGCTTGCAAACAGAAACTATAAATTTGCTAAAGGGAACAGTAGAACTACTAGAGCAACGTATGAGCCTTCTGGAAGAAAAACTTGCAAACCTCTCGGCTAAATAAAAAAGAAATCAAATTTTAAAATCTTGTTCAAGTACCTACATGGTGTGTAATACTTAAGCCTGTATGAAGTATACATTGTTCATGAGTGGTATGAAATTTATTACTATAGGTTGCAGGTATTTGCAGAAATAAGAAATCAATTTTATTTAAGACAAAGCAGAGAGCTTAAGGATGAAGACCAATTTAATTCAATCACACTTTGTTGAGTTGTTTTAAATTGAGAGTTGCCACACCAAGACTATTCTACAGTCTATACAAATTTAAAAAAGTAGAATGCAGTTGAAAAATTGTCTTAACAAAATGCTAATCTATTGTCCCCCCCCCCCTCCCCCCCGACAAAAAGAAAAGAAATGTTAAACAAGTACTAGCAGTGCACATGTATGCACTTGGGTGTTTGAAGCATTACAATTGAAGACAAGTGAGGCTAGTGAAGGCAGGCAACTACAAAATTGCTCACTCTAGATTGGTCAAATATTTTTAGAATTCCACTTTATCACCTTATTTTGCAAAGAGTGCCCATATGGTACAGGAAAAAATAACATTCTGGGATTCAAAGAAGTACATGATGGTCCCCTTACTGATAATTGTAGTAATCCTTTGACATGAAGAAAAAAAAAACTAGTCATTTAAGCAAGAATCCCTTTTTGTATCTTGGAATGCAATTAAAACAATTCCAACCTTGTTAACCTCAGTTTTTCAATATTACTATGTACTGCATTGATAGTCACCCCGAAATGAAATAAAATGCATAAACATAATGTCAGTCAGATGCCCTCTTCAATTTAAACATCTATAATATAAGTTACTGTGATAAGCTCTGATAATGCATAGGGCACTTTTTTTTTTAAAGCATGAAATATGCTGTACCTTTGCACAATCCCATACTCCTATAGAGAGGGATGAATTCCTCTCCTTCACAATCCACAGAAGAAAGATTTTATAACAATAACAGGCATTTATTTTTTGCTAATAGTTTTACTGCTGGTAGTAGGCTAAATAAAAATGTTTATCAAACAATCAGATGACTTGGTATCTAAACAGTTGAAGGTATCACCATTTAGCAGTCCAGTAATTGATGGTAATATAGAGTGGTCAGCCAGCATGCATGCAAGAATATAGATGTATTGTCATACTTTTTTTTTCCATAAATTACATGTCTATATATATATATATCTATATTTATATAGTGTTTATACGATTCAAAGTAGAACTGCCGGTATCATAAAATTACACCAATGCTACTCCCCTATAGTTAACTCATCACAACAAAGTCTGCCTTTCTATGCAGATTTCAATCATATTTCTTAACACCATACTCTTTAGTAATGTTAGCAACTACACAAAACATTTGGATTACATTTGAGGTGAAATGAACAGACAAATCTTGGTTGACTACCCATAGCACAACACACACTTCTAGAAAATAAACTAAACAGGATAAATTAATGATGTAAACAGGTAAGGAATGGGAAATGTTTGTGTGCTACTACAGCTGAAGTTGCGAACATGACAGTCATTACAATAAGAGAACACATTATAAATATGAGATAATGTGACATCACAATCAACAAATAATGTAGCAATTTTAGAGGCTTACTTGAAGGCAGGGGAAAAGGAATGGTTGAACCAATATGCCTTGTCAGGCGGACTAGACATGCCTTTTTTTTTTCCTTTTTTTTTTTGTACTGCACAATTTGTTCTCAAAAGAAAATCAACTTCCTAATGTTACTTAACATATCTCAGCATAGCTTTGGTTTTGCTGCATATTAATTCCACAAGCATATAGATATCACCTACAAAATGAAGCTGAGCAAAATGAGTTCAATAATTTATGGGCAAGTTCCTGAATATATCAGGCTGCTTATTTGGATTCAATAGTTTTTTTCTTTTAACAGAGACCCTGGGTAGGACAATTAAAAATATATAACAAAACAACTTTGAAACAATAAAAAAAAATTTACAACATGCACTGATCTCACTTCCACATGAGATCAGTCAATCACTTGAAGTGATACAAAAACATATGTCAAGACCTCGAATGCATTTTCTCAGTTTGTTCTTTTAGTTTCATAAGCTCACTTTGGATTGCATCAGTGATGGCTTTTCTTGCTTCAATTTCGCTTGCATTTTTCTGTTTCAGTTCCTTCACCAGGGTCGACAAATCCAATGGCTCACCATACACTAATGTAACTTTTTTCCCAACTCTTAAATAATACGGCGGTTCATTTGGTAACACTGTATCAGTTCCTTCATGCCACATCGGAATGATAAGTGGAACATTGGGGGACTCATAAACCATTCGTCCTACCCCCCACTTTAATCGAATAAACTCTTTAGTCATATTCACTCGGCCTTCTGGGAATACATGAACCCACTCACCTTCATTCAGCTTCTCAATGCAGAAGTTAATTGCATCCTGTAAACATAAATGCAAAACTGAAATGTATTTATTTATTAAAAAAAGGTTTAAATAGAAAATAGTTAGGCTTGACTTACTTGGTAAACGCCACTACCCCTTATAACAGGAACACACTTTCCCAGCATGAAAAAGTAAGAATGTAGAGTATTCGTGAAGCAAATGTCATGAGCAGCTAGCGACCAGCGCATTTTTCTTCTGTTGAGAAGATGTCTCCACTCTAAGCTTGCTGTAAGGTAGGTCAAAGGAAACATGACTCTCGAAACTTAAAATACATAAATGAAACCATAAGTTAACCTACCCCAAAGACCTGGATCATCAAAACATGAATGATGGTTGGAAACAGTAATGAGAGGGATATTTTTTGGCCTCTTGTCCAATGCCCTGGATATGACTTCTCGGTTGTAAACTTTAGTGGTGTTGAGCCATTCTGGAATATGGAAAAAAAGGATGCCAAATTTGTGCTTAGGAATGCTGCTGAAATCCACAGAAAAGCCATGGTTATCATGATAACAGAGGCAGTTTTGGTGCTGCTATAAATTTTAACTATCACTGAGCTGTCTTTAATACCATGATAAATTCTTGAGTTCTCACTGACAATACATTTTTAAAAAAATTGCGATTCATAATTCAAATAACACAAGAGATGTCCATGATGTTCTGCAAATGGCTATAAAAAGGAGCACTCTAACCAAGGGAAACTATATACCAAAATTTAATTATTAATAGAGCAAATTGGAAAAATGGGGGAAGCATTCATAACAAAAATAACATGATCTTTAAGCACTAACCTAAAAACAATTTGCTAAAAATTCCAACGGCAACGACAGTTATCGAACTGGCAATATTCCAACAGACTCGATATGGTTTTCGAAGTTTAGGAAATATCCAATCAATCTTGTACTCCATTTTCGTTGCTTCTTGAAAAAATTGCAAGGCAAATCATTCACAGAATTTTAACTTAACGCAGGCGACACCATTTCCATTTCGTCTGATTTCGTCGTCGTACACTTTGAAACAGCTGTGGAGGAGTGGGGGAGCTAGAGGGGGTAGTATTCCCTCCCCTCCCCGCAAAAGAGATCTTCTCTCTCTCTCTCCGTTTCTTTCTCTATCTCGCTGTATCTCTCTTGCACTTCACGGGAAGTCTGAAGAGTAACAAGAGGGGGGTGGGGGGGATAAACTGTTCGGGGACACACGTGCTTAGGACTGAAACCGAAATCGAATCCGGTTAATTATATACTATATCCAATCGATACGACGACCCCATGCTTACAAGAGCCAAAAGGGACATCTAATTTACATAAGTAGTGTGACCTCTCTGCTGGTTTCTGAAGGCACCCCAAAGATCGAACTTGGCCGTCTTCTTTTTGTTCTTCTTCTCCTCCTCCCTGTCTACTCTCTGCTGTCTAGTGGAGTGTCTTCTGCGGTGGAAAGGTGGAACTTGGTGGAAGCAGGAAGGTTAGAAAAGGTTTTAGTCCTGTGACCACAAGTGAATTAATAGTATTGCCATCATGCTGAGGTCCGTTGCGATGCGTGTGCACGGCGCTGTCCGAAGTGGAGTACTCCAGACTGCCGTCAGATCCCCAGCAGCTATCCAACAGCGACTTTCTCACGGCAAGCCTGAACTGTCTGAAGAAGAGTTCGATCAAAAGTACGTCGACTTCTTCAGCCGTCCCAACATTGACGGATGGGAAATCCGCACTGCAATGAATGACTTGGCCCGAATGGACCTTATTCCTGAGCCCAAGATCATCGTCGCTGCTCTCAAGGCATGCCGTCGTCTGAACGACTATGCCGTTGCAGTAAGGTTCCTCGAGTCCGTCAAGGACAAGTGCGGGACCAAAGCCAACGAAATCTACCCCTGGATCATTCAAGAGATTAGGCCGACCCTTGACGAGCTTGGCATCAGCACTCCAGAGGAGCTAGGTTACGACAAACCTGAGCTTGCCATCCAGGATGTAGAGGACATGCATTAGATTAGCTTGTTGCGAACATGTAGCAAATTCATTCAGTCAACATCGACTGTTCTTTCTTTTAAATTTTAACTTCCAACCTTCTTGCAAGATGATTTCTGTGGTCTGTTATGATTGTAAATAATGTGGAATAAAAGTGTTAAGGAAGTGTAATCTATCTTATTAATTGAATAGTATCTCATGCACTCAATGGGACTTTTACTTCTACTCGCATAGTAGTGCCAAGTGTCACATGAATGAGAATATTATTTTTCTGCCTAGCCCTAGATATTGAGATAGTATGTACTACTCGTGTCAGTTTTGTAAGCAATCCACACTGAATTTATGACGGTTAACATTTGGTGTCAACAATGAGCCATTTTCATTCAGTTCCAGTTGTCTCTTGGGAAGTCTTTAATTATTTTTCAGACAAATTTGTCACCTTCATGATTTAAGTTAGATATAATTATGCAACCATCATCAATAGGACAATTCCGCACAGTTAGAATTAGAAAAGGTACACACTTAAAATGGTAATTTCGTTTATCCAAAACTAGGTGGATCATCACACATTACAAATGTAAATGTTGGAACACCTTTACATGATTGAAACAATTATATGTACAAATTGCCATGCAAGAGGTAGATTATATACCAAAGGGTTCACTATGGAAAATCTTCTTTTAGAATGAATGATACAAGCCCACAAAGAGCACGACAGTTTAAAAAAGAGGGATACAATGACAATCACACAACAAATTGACATAAAAGGAACTTAGTGAAGTCAATAATAAAACTATCGGGAAACTGAAAATACTGCCTCCTCAACCTTCTTTCTTTCTGAGATAGACACAATAATTCAATTACAGTTAAAGAAGACAGCTTGCCAAATATACAGACCAAACTGTAAAATCGAGGCAACCACATCACCTGCTGTTGAACATACAATGCTTCGACCAGACTGACTTCATTTGGTATGAGAAGTATGCCTGCAAATATCACAGTATCACTGCTAAATTAAGCAAGCCAAGCCAACACAACATTATTCAAAAACAAAAAAAATACCACAAAGACAAATAAATAACACTAATGACTAAAGTTCACTCATGGAACACAGGTCTCAATTAAAACTAACACTGGAATGGTAAAATGAGATATTCAATTGACTTAAATCGGTATAAAAAGAACAAAATTCTCCTCTGAAATTAAATATTCTGAGTTACGAGCATAGAGAATAGTTTTTAAAATTATTTTTTCTAAATAAGGAAGAAACTTTCAAACTGCTCATGCTCATAAAGTAACCCATTGCCTATAAACATTTAAAACTTATTGTTTCTCATAGTAAGTTTGACAGACTCCTTAACAACTCAAACTCCTTAACAGAACATGATAATTTAAAGGGATCTTGGTAAGTTAGATTAGATCAATATAGAATTTTGCTCTCCTTTTGTTTACCCAAAATATGAAGAAAATAGAGTTAAAGTAATGTCAAAGTAACAGCATCTCTAGATATTTGTTTTTTCAATAAATTGGTCAGTTTTCTGTCTGCCTTGCAAATAGGAAGTTTTGCACATTGGTGAGTTGTAAAATATTACAAGGAAGTAGCTAACACATACCTAACAACAAAATGAATGCAATCTGTATTATTCATTCAGATTATTATCTTTACTTAATGGCAAACTTTTCAAATATTTTTTGTGTAATATGTACATATACGACATCGATTTTAATAAAAATTTGCTCCAAATGAAAAGCAGCAGAGGTGTTGTACTCTATTGAAAAATTAAGTGAGGAGCAATGTCTTCATGTACACATTATTAGTTAGCTACTTCTGTTCTGTTCATAAATCATGGCACTAAAATCACAGACACCCCAAAACCTGTAGCATTGATGAAATTCCTCATCACAATAACTAGAAATATAGTCTTTAAAAATGAGTCACAGGAAAAGGTTTCAGCTGCACAATAGTTTCAATTTCTAATTATAGCAAAACAGACCAAAGACAGGGACATTTTTTTTTATTTCCTGGGGATACATGAACTGCCCCGTTCTTTTGCCAAAATGACCTGGAACCATCCTTTAAAACTCACATACAGGCAAAATACATCATCCTATGAGGCCATGTTATTTTTAGGACTTGAAGAAGAGAGAATAAAAGTTAAACCATCAGAAATAATATGGGAAAAAGCTCATGTCAATATCTATCAACACCATTCATTATGTTATCTTCAAAAATAAGACAAAACGTAAGGTTTTCAGTTAAAATTGGTACACCTGACTGATATGTACAGTGAGCTTTGCAGCAAATATTGATTCATTGAATGCTGGTTGCAACAAATAACCGTGCGTTGTGCTCGTAAGTCTAAAATCAATTTTAGAAAGACCTTTTCAACATACTCAATTTTTCTCCAGAATTTTCAGAATATTAATCAACACCAATATGATTGTGTGCAAAATGACAATACTTTGTGCAATAATACACGAAGCAAATAATCCAAATAACATATTTCACTTTTGATACACTAACAATGATATTCAAGATAATTTAAGCTTAATTTTAAGACTGGTTCAATCTTTAAATCTACAGCAACACACAGTAAGGAGAAACAAAGGTGTGAAGTGCTTTGCGCATTTCTTTTCTCATTAACACAAGCCAAGAAACTTCATAAATAATCCTGATTTAAAAAGGTGATTAAAAATCAAATTTTGTTTCCTTAATACTGTAGTACACTATGTCAACTCAATGTTCAGGGACAATACTTCACATATTGTTTGGAATATTAAAACTTTGTTTCAAACCAAATTTATTACTATTTTTATTGCATACTCATATGCAAATTACATTTGTAAAACTCACAATGGTCCAAAACTCTGAATTGAGGACCCATTGCAGTACCAGGTAAGATCGTACATAAATACATGATTAGATTATTGTTTACTTTGGCAGAGATCAGACCCAAGCTATTGTGGCAATAGAACAACTTTACCTTCTGACTGGCTCATTGAAGACATGAAGACACCCAGATACTGTAGATTAGTAGATACATAGTAAATGTAGAACCACAATGGGATCCAACTTCATAATTAAACAAAATCAAATTTGTCAATGAACTACAAAGTAAAAAAAAAAAAAAAAAAAGGAAAAGGAAAAAAAAACACAACAAAAAAAACATTCCTATAAATAATGTTTTGATGTACTAACATAGATCACACAATGATCAAACAGAACCATCATATGACTGCAAAAACGAATGCAAACCTAACGGGCAACATTTCCTTCATACATTATAATAATTATGACATCCTTGTGCTTCTAAATTGCTTTGCTTGCATTGACTTTGGAGTCAAACAGATACTTTAAGAGGATCTTGTTGTTTTTTTTTTCTTATCACAGTACCAATACATCAATTACCAAGAACCTCACCTGGCTCCTCAGACTTAATGTCAGCAACAGAAGTAATAGTTTTTGTTAAAACAGTTCCATCTTTCAAAGAGAATACCTGTAGAACCTGAGGTTCTGAACCTGTCATCATAATTGGAGTTCCAACCATACCACTGGGTATACTTATGGTTTCTACTTCCCCGCCTGAGGTCCCAGCTTCAACTTTTGGCACAGTGACCACCTGAAATTTTTTTTTCAGAAAGACCCCTATTATAAAATGGGACATTAGATTACAAAATGTTGACATCCAGAACTTTGATAAAAACATACCTGCATTGTACAGTCATTCTGTACCATTGTCTGATACATGGATGCTGAGACTGGTACAGAGATCATTCCAGATACAACTGGATATGCTGAAAAATTTTAAACAAAGAAAAAAATTAAAAATCTTGAAAAATCTTTGCGATGAAAATTATGTAACGTATGTAATGTCCCCCCCCCCCCCCCCCCCCCCCCCCCCCCCCCCCCCCCCCCCCCCCCCCCCCCCCGCAATACCTCCCAAGCCATCAGACGGTTCTAAACGGGCCCCGCGGAGAAAGTCGACTTTAACCGGTTAATGTTGGCATGAACCGACAAACGGACTTAACCCATAAGATAACATATTACAAAGGTACTCAGAGTAGTTTTTAGTTACAACCAAACTTCAAGGAATGTAAAATTGTAAAGTTCACACAAAACAACAAATTCTGAATACATTGTGTCCATGTCATTAGTGCAAACACATTTTTATTAAAGACTTACAGTACCTGATTGAGACACAGCATCATGGCCATGAGACCGAAGATTTGACTGACCACTACGTTGGCTATTTGTTGGACCCAAGCTCTCTGGCAAAGGCACACAGCAACAATCCCAACAAATCCGCAAATAAAAAAGAAAACAAACAATTGCTAACAAAATACCTCCTAAGAATACAGCATGTGAAAAACAAAACAAAAGCATCAATGCACAAGATACTGGTAAGGAAACATATACACTAAAAACAACTCATTACTATTAGATTATTACATTAATTGTAGTGTAATGAATAGAAAACAATAATGGACCATAAATGAATTCACTCCTTAAACAACATCGAACATATTGAGGTCAGTGGTCCTTACCATCAAGCTTGTTTTACAAAAGCAGCTAATAACAACTGAGGATAAATATAAGAGGACAATATACAAATATAAAAAAAAAGAAAAAAAAGAAAAATAATAGCAGTGCAAACTAAATTCAAAGATTACTAAATAATGAAGCAGAAAAAAAGCCTGCTAGAGGCTAATAAGGATAATCAATGTGGCAAAGATGTTAGCACAAGTGCTTGCCACAGTTACAGAACAGATTTAATTTATTAATTTATACAGTACATACTTTCTATTGTTGATCCTTGCTGCCACAACTTCTCATTCACAGAGCAAAGTTTCACAGCATATTCTGAAATGAAAAATTCACAAAATAAAGAATGTTTAGGCTGATTACCAAAATGCCTCATTTTAATATGCATGAGACTGAAGCCTTACCGTGGCCATCTTCTCCTGTAAGAATGAGTTGACCATCATGGTTTATTAGGGTTGCCTCAGTGACATTATTGAGGTCTACAACTCCATCTGAAGTTACATCACCCAACGCCTAGAAACGGATAAGATAGATAGATAAATTATTACGAAAACTCTCCCCTAAAAAAGCATTATTGGCCAGATTATTAAAAATGAACAAAGTGTGCTACAAAATAAGCCTACCGATGCTACTCCTTGCACCTGAGCAGTGGTACCATCAGGTAAAGTAATTATTGGATTGTTGGGATCCACTTGAATGAGTGATACAGATCCGTCAGGGTTGTTGATGGTTTGCAATACTGTTGCTGTCCCATACTGTAAACAGTTACAATTCGGATTAGAATTTGTGGGAGTGGCATATGACCGAGATTAATCAAACTTTTCCTTTCTACTACAGATTGACAAAATATTTTTAAATGATAGCGTATGATGAAGAGTCCTAAAAGTTATTGTATAGAAAACAAAAGAAAACCTAGAGAGCATGCATTATCAAAGATAAGAGATGTGAAAATGGTATGGGTTTTCATGTACAGGTAAGGGATATATAAGTTCTTGTGACATGAACTCGTATATTTGTGAATTTCAGCCCACCCGAATATAAACCGCACCCCGGTTTTGGAGCTGAAAAAATGTGAAAATTCGTTTCGTAACAAGATTAAGCCTAGGTACTTAAACTACAGGAATGAAATAAAACTTAAGAATTTACAAATTGGTCGTAATATAACACAACCATGCAACAAAATTAGTAAAACATACACACACAAAAAAAGAAGGCAACTAAAAAGGTCACCAAGGTCCACTAAGAAAAACAAAAGCAATTTGAAAGACCAGCATTTCCATAAAAAAAGAGGGGAAGAAGAGAAGCACACCTGGGCTGCTTGAGCAAGAGTAGTTTGGGCAGGAGGAGATGAGACGCTCACAGGAGCAGAGGTCATTGTGTTAGTATTTGTTGAGATTGAGGAGACCGACACCGTGCTCGCAGATGCAGAGCTGGCAACATTTGCCAGATTAGCCAAACTGGTGCTTACTCCTGTTGGTGATAGGGCACTGACTCCTTTTCCAGCTTGGTGATACTTGAGGACTCCAACAGAGGCAACTTGTTGTACGGTTTGCTCATTTTGAACTGAATTTGATGTTTCGTCAGTCATGCCATTCAATTGAGCTTGCTCATCTTCTTCATTAAAAGCAGGAAGGAGATCCTCCCTTCCATGGAATTTGTAGCAATTGATTACAATTTGACGAAGGGCGTGTGTCCATGAGATTTGAGCATTCCTACACTGAAGTTTAAAATCTAATTAGTAGATAGATAAAACTAGTTTTCTAGGTACAATACATGACAATGGTTTAAAATTAATAAATCATTGTATTATCAAAATTCTCAACAGTGGTGATATACAATTCGTTACTAACCTTTTGCTTTTCATCTTCAGATCTAGCATCCATTCTAACATTAGCCCAAGGAATTTCTTTTGGCCACCACAGGGGCTTTGTTGATTCCCTGCCCCAACCTGGCTTTCCTCTACCTAAGAATACATAATTTTATAGATATACAATGTGTTACCAGCGACAGGCAATTGGTAGGAACAATAATTGAAGGAGAAATAGTTCCAAACTTTTTTCTTACCAGTGGAATATTTAAGCATAAGAGGTATAAAAGCTCTCAACTGAGCTTGAGTCATTTTTTCAACAGGAGTTGGTATCCCATCTATAACAAGGGGGGGCAGTTCATATAATGAGGGATCATCTCTAGAGGGTGGGGGTGCCTGTCGATGCAAAGCATGTTCAAGTTCATCTAAAATTGATACTCTTAGACTTTTCATCTGCAGAGAGAATAGCAAGAGAAAATGATTAAAAGAAAATATATACACTAGATGTAATTTGGAAATATTAATAATTTCACATTCTTACCACATCTTCTAAAGGTTTAGCACCAAAACACCTAAAACTGGCATGAGGCTTCCCTGGAGTGGCTACTAGAACAACTGCTTGTTGACCAACCCTGGTAGCGAACTCGTCAATGGTTGCCTGAACACATGTGACATTCAGTTACAGATTTGTAAATTGCAGGAAATTGATAAGATATAACAAGGTAACTTACTCGTAATTTGCGCAGCAATCGGTTCTGCTGACGCTTGCGGATTGAAGGGTTTGTTTCAAAAGAATGTGGTCTTTTCTTTTTCTTTGATGACACAATAGCAGCAGCAGCGGCCATACCAACAGTTCCTTAAAAATGCAATTATTTTAGCAAAATGGAAAATACTAAATACCAGAAGCTTTCTTGACAAGTCTTGTACAAGGAAACAAAACTAAACTTCACACAAATTCTATATTTTAAGACTACTGCAAACTAAAAGAAAATATAAATAAAACAAAAAAAAAAAAAACGTATTTAAGCTGTTTTTACAGATACTCAAACTATGATATAAATATGCACCAAAATGTTGACAGCACCAGTAAAGGAGATTAAGAGAGGGATTAAGTTGGTGCTCAAAAGGTAATTCATCAAACAATGCAAACACAGAAATAAAATTTTACCAAAAAGCAAACAAAAATGTACCATGAGTATTTTGCCAACCTGCTGCTGCCAGCTGAGCTGTAATGTCATGTCCCATGGCAGCTGCCATAAGGCCCCCATCATCAAATGAAGTAGAGCCAGGTGACGATGGACAATCTTCGTCATCATCGGAATCCATTTGACTGTGCCCACCAATTGGATCTCGTGTCTCCATTACAGTAACCATAATTTCATCTAGAAAAAGGTAGATAATACAAAGAGTTCAATATCATTCACAAACAATAACACTATAAGATTTCACTACAAAAAAGACAAAATTAACTTGGGCAGTTTTAGTGTGATAAAACAATTATTTGAAATGACAACCAAATGTCTTCAGAAGTTGTTTCATAAGTTTGAAGAAAAATATGCAACCGCAGAAAATATTAGCGAGGGTAAAAACCCATTCAAAGCGCCGGTAATGTTTACACAGAAGCTTCAACTACCACTATCTGTTCCGAAATGGCGATTGTTCACAGGCCTTTAACCACAAAAGTCGGAAATTAGACCGGGATGGATAATTTGTATGGGTCTAAAGACAAGTAAAAGACAAGTAACAAAATCTGGAAAAGGACGAGTACCATGCATTGTAGACAAACTTCAGGATGCGGTGCGGCAGTTCGCCACGGCCGCGACTGCGTACCTGGGGCTTAACTGCGTCGGCCCGATACAGCCCTTGCCCTAGCATTCAGAACCTCTCTTCCACATTTCTTTCAAGTTAGATGCCGGTAAGACTTTAAAAGAACGCGACACTTTAATAAAACGAGCTGTGAATATAATAAAAATACAAGCAGCCTAAATTCTCCATAAAATATCGGGGCTACTTAATGTAACAGTACACAGTCTTAAGCCATATCTCTTTCGCCATTTTGGGCGAGCCTGCGCGATAGCACTTTTTAGCAGACGATATTTACGTCTTTTGAGACAACATCTTATACCGGCCTGAAGAAAGCAACAAACTGAAACATGTGGATTAAATTCAACTTTATTTTACTCACCAGACCGAAGCACAGGAACATAATTGGTATCACAAGAAAATCGCTTCACAGACAAATAGGAGCGTCTCTCTAACCATATAGACAGACGTTGAGTGTTGAAAACTAAACCACTAGCGTCACCTATCGGAGAACCACGGCACTACGCCACTATCAAACACCGATGTCAGAGGCATCTCTTGGTGTTTCATGTGAACTAAAGAAGAGGCGAGGGACCACGGGGGGTGGTGGAGGGTGGAGTGGGGGTGCAGTGATTAATGAAGTTAACCTGCCGGGCATTGTGTCAATATTTGTGACATAACAGTTTAGTTCAGACGTGCAGGTGTGAAGTAAAGTTCAGGTATAGACTACCCTGCAGGTATCCTGGCCCCCGATGTTCATGATTTTTACACCAGTGTACGCTTAAAACCAATCTACGATAACATTGCAATTTACCCATCAACTACATTTGCCACTGTTTGATTGACATCTGCAGTGAGGTAAGTTGAAGTATCACATACCAGTAATCACAGAAGTCTAGTTACGAGATTTCTCAGAGAAGTATTTCTTTCGCATTTCTAGAAGCCATCTCAAACAGGTCTGTCACTTTCTTACATGTTGTCTAACCGTGTTCAACGAATGAAAATTATGCAATGTTGTCCTATCCCTAGGGAAAAAAATTAAGGGTCTGAGTGGAAGTTAAAGGGCAAATGAGTGGGACCTCAGCCACTTAATGGCCACTCTATTAAGTGTGTCACTTTAAAGTACTTTAAAGTGGTAAGCAACTGGCCAGGAAGTGGTGGTAAGGATCTTGAGCGTCAAAACTGTTGAAATTCCACTCTATGTGAGACAGCCATTGTGCTGTTGTGGGGTTGTCAATTGTGTTGATCGCAGCAGGGACTAGACCTTGCCTATAAAATTTACAAGATACTGTACTCGTACTAGACAGGCTGTTGGCTTGGTAAAACATCTAGGGTATGGCTTCGTAAGCATGGTGTTACCAGGAAGCTAACTTTTTACTCCAGCACTTCTTCGCTACTCTAATGCCACTTAGTATGATTGCTTCATTTTTCCTTTGGAACCGCTCTTGAGTATCCTCAGTGCCGCTTTAATAAAACCTCCAATTTTATGACACTTGCGTGCCATCTGGCCTTTTTGACTCTTAGTGCCACTTATCTACCCCTAAATTTTGCCACTCACAATTTTTCCAGGGATATGGTTATTAGTTTATAATAATAGTGCGTACTTTTTATGTGTGTTGAACCTTAAACTTTGGCTTCCATTGGGATTTTTTGAAGTTGTGATTGAAACTTCTTTATTTTCATCAGTCCAATCTGTAGCATATTACGTAAGTTGTATTATCCATGGCAGAAAAAAACCATTAACATTTTAAAGTTTCTAGTTGAACTATTACTGAAAAAAATGATTTCATCTGGTAAATTAGGACACACTACTCTTAAATGACGTCTAACTGCATTGACAGCTTCTATTTAAACGTTCATTCTCTTCCCATGTGTCTTTTTCCCTATGGTTTCATCATCTTCATCTTCTTCGTCTTCTTCATCCTCCTCATCCTCATAATCTTCCTCGTCTTCCTCATCATCATATGAGTTAGGAGTTTCTGTAAGCATAATAATTATGTTAAAAGAAACAACAAAAAAACAATATATAATCTAATAAATTTCCATTATGCAGTATATTATTGATAGAAGTCATACTTCGATTACACAACCGTCCTGACCAGCCGGTATAACAAAGACAGCTTGGGCCGGCTTCACTTCCCCCTGCTCGACATATTCCATGACGGCAAGGTCTGTTGCAGTTACTTCTTTGTGGCACTCTTCTTCCTATTTCACAGTGATCACCACGAAAATTAGGGGGACATTTGCACTTGTTCACTCCACGACAGCGTCCACCATTAAGACAAGGAATAATACACTTTGCTGGAAAATATGCAGTACTGTATCAATAAGGGCCATTAAATTTTAAATTTGCTCAAGAATAATTTGAAATAAAAATCAAACACTCACAGTATTCACAACGCAAGCCATAGTACCCTTTTGAACATTCACATGTGTCTTTTTGTACACATTTACCTCCATTTTGACACTTTTCTGCACATATTCCTGTAAAGTAAAATTAAAACAAATATTTCTGATTTTTGTTGTTGCAGGATGTTGGCCACAAGGACATCTCAAAACATGATCTCTGCACCTTTAGGTGCTTTAAATTCTATTCAGAAGAGAGCTGCACATAGAGCATCCAAGGATGTTGCTAGTATGATACGTGTAAACCATGCTGGAGAACTTGGGGCAGACCGTATTTATGCCGGTCAGATGGCAGTTTTAGGTAATACAAGCATGGGAAAAGAAATTCAACATATGTGGGATCAAGAAAAGAAGCACAAGGCCAAGTTTGAAGAATTGATCAGTAAATACAGAGTCAGGCCAACTGCATTTGTGCCCATTTGGAATGTAGCAGGGTTTATGCTTGGTGCAGGTACTGCTCTCTTTGACTTGATGTAATCTTTCATCATCTTATTGTTATTCACTATCATGACATTTATTTCTAGGTACAGCACTGTTAGGACCCAAAGCAGCCATGGCCTGCACTGTTGCTGTTGAATCAGTTATTGTTGAACATTACAATGATCAGCTGAGAACTCTTATGGCAGATCCAAAGTGTGACAAAGAACTTTTGGATGTTATCCAGAAATTCAGAGATGAAGAGCAGCAACATCATGATTTAGGATTGGAGCATGGAGCTGAGCAGGCACCCTTTTATGATGGGCTCACAAAGCTTATTACTCTAGGATGCAAAGTAGCTATTACCATTTCAAAAACAGTTTAATTGATATGGAAATAACTCATGCATGTAGATGCATATGCTGACTGAGCTGCTTCTTTAAGAAAATATGGCCACCCTAGTTACCTTAATTGTTATTAAACACATTGCTTAACAAATCTGTCTTACCTCCTTCACAGTGGCGACCTTGGAATCCTGAAGGACAAGAGCAGATACCAGGGGCTGAACAAACACCTCCATTCATACACTGTGGGTAGCAGAGAGCTGTCTTGCAATATTGTCCCATGTATCCCTCAAGACACTGACAGATTTTTTCATGATTACACCTTCCTCCATTGGCGCACTTTTTATCACATTCTGGGTCAGGTCCTGAAACAATTTCCAATCCTAATTGCTAGAGTGTATTTTAAATTGTACATTCATAGCAAAATTGTATAAAAGGAATATTCTTATTTGCCCAAGTTAAGAGTGCACCCATTGTTTTATTTTATTTCTATGTACTTCTTCTGTCTGTCTCATAGAATAGTTTATATTTGTACAAATATTTCTATGAGTAGTAAGAAAAAATACTTACCAGCGAGGTACTCACCCCTGTGGGCACACTCCTTACGAAGTTTCAGTCTGAGTGGGGTACCAGGCATGGGACGTCCTTTCCGGCTTTCAATGAGTAATCCTATACCAAATGAGGCAATACCACTACCATTACCCGAGCAGGGCAAAAGGACACTAAACACTGAAATATCAAAAAAAAAAATATCAGTCAATTACAATGGTGCTACTTTTCTTTTATCCTTATTCATATTTATTATTATTTTATACCTTGTGTGTACTGTTAAAAATTATATTTAGATGATCAAAACTCACCCTTTGGTCTTCGCGGTACACGTCCACGGGTTTTAATGGATATTAGAGGGGGCTCAAGTATTTTCTCATCAAATGACTGCAGCCGGTCAAAGTTATAATAGTACTTTTTTACACCTGATTTCCATGTGAAATTAACATATCCTACCTAGTGTGAGGAAAAACACAATGTAATTAATTAACAGCATGGTCCAGAGGCATTTTAATTACTAATTTTTAAAATTCCTAAAAAAATTGACAAAATAAAGGGTATTTTTTTTCAACTGAAAGAGAAACCCACAAAAAACAGCTTTGAAGGTAAAAATTTGACTGGAAGTTAAACAGACAGCTAATGACTTGCATCTGCAAAAGTCTGCAGTCACTGCTCAGTGCATTTTCAATTGATTCTATGTCAATCAGGCCTCAGTTGATGCTGCCATGGGACATACTCTCACCTCTGATGGTATGATGGGCAGGTACTTCTCAAAGTTTGGGTCTAGAATATATGCAAGTACATGGCCATCCACAATTGCATAGATTTCCATGGAAATTCCTGCAACAAAATTTTTGAAAGCATGAAATCACATTTTAAGTAATGAAAATGAAAACTTTGCCCAGGAATACCATTTTGTCACCAATAGGCTATAATTCTGTTGCAATGCCCCCCTTCCCCCGCGGTACACACTTAGAATCTCGCACATCTTTGCGGGCAGGTACCAGCAACAGCTGGCATTCCCTCAAGGTACTTTTCCTTCCTTAAGCCGAGCCTTAACTATGTAGCTAGTTTGCATTGTCTGTTTACCATCGTGGGAACTTGTATTTTTTAACTGACACGATAAAATGCGTTTTGATCCCAATGTAGGACTCGTAGTCGCCAGCAGTTCAACGCGAAGGGGATGGGATTCGGCGAAAGGAAATTATTTGAATGGAGATAAAGAAACAGCCAAGCCCAAGCGCAAAGAGAAAAGGTGATGTGCTTTTGAGGAGGGAGAAATTTGGGGGGGGGGGGGCGCTCATAAACCGACTAGATCGGAAATAAATTCGAGGATTAGTGTAATGTCATAAGAGGCTCCTCATGACGGGGGGGGGGGGGGGGGGCTGGGCCAGACAATTCCAATTCCCGCGCCGCCCGCCGTGAGAGCCCCGCCCCGGGAGCCCTCCCCGTCACTCACCGCTGAACATCTTGACCTGATGCTCGCTGATCCACAGCGAGAGATCTCCGCCATGACGAGTCAAACTGTTGACGTAAACGACCAGAAAGCTCAACAACAGGCTTTTCCACATATCGAAGAGTCGCCTTCGGGCACACACCTCATCCTACGAGAGGACACATTCGCCCGCTGCCGAAGACTCGTCCCGCTCCCCTCTCGCACACGACTGGACTGGCGACAGACAGGCCGGGTATCGCCCGGCAGTGCGCTCACTTCACGCACTCTTTGCGGCGCAGTGCTCCTCAACATAATGCTTGCTTGGCTGCTGATCCAATCGCTCGCTTGCCCAGCGGGCGGCTCCCCCTCCCCTCCTCCCGCCCTGTTCTGCTCTCCTTGTTTTTATTCTCTTTCCTTCGACCCCTCCTCATGTCTCTGTACATCTTTCTCTCCTCCCTCTACGTCCCTTTCGCCCATATCGTCACCGGCCGGGCACCCACCGGGCTTTGCCCCTTTGCCCGCTCCAGAACATATCGCCGAGACGCCACAGTAGACGGTTGTCGGTTGGTCCCCTCTTCCCCTGTGTGTTGGCAGGCAGGACAGGGCTCTACGGCGGGGCTCGGCGGGTCCGCCAGGGGCCAGGTGGCCAGGTGTTTGCTACAGAGCCGGGCAGCCGGCTGCGAAGGGCTGCGCTCGAAGTCAAGCGGGGGGAGGGGGCTGGCCAGGGCTGCGGCTACTCTTCTCGACTGCTACGGATGCGGCCAAGGTCCTTTCGTTGCCCTGTGGATTGTCCGCGGTGCGCGTCGTTCTGCGCTCTTCCTCGGTCTCGGGGGTCTTGGGTGGATAAGGATCTGTCCCCAGGACCCCCGGCGTGGGTGCCTCCGCCACCCACAGTTAGGACGGCACAGCCTCTCCCGTAGGAATTCCCCCCTCCCCTCTAATTTACTTGCGATCGCCCTACAGCAACAGAACGAATTGGGGTACAGATATTGCAGGCACGAATTAATACGGGCCAATGAGGCTGGTTTGGAACTTGTATTATCCAAGTTCGCATCTTAATTGGAAGCAGGCAGCGGGCAGGCCACTTGAGGGTCTGAATGGAGTGATGCGGTGCGAAGCGTATGTTCACATGCACCCTATCTGGGCGGCCTGGCGGACATTGTCTTGGCTCTTGGCGGCTCTTAGGTAAATGCCAAATTCTTATTCACGCTTCAGTTCCATATGCTCCAGTACACCACAAAGTTCAACAAGTTCGTGCTCCTGCATCGATGCCGTGTGATCTTGAGGCAGAGTCGTTTGAGCGAAAACAGGTTTCCCACCGGCCGACGTCAGTAGGGGTATCGGCCGTAGCACACCCGATCGGGAGGACAGGACGTGTGGGGGACCCGACCCCGCGACGAGACGCGTACGCGGTCTCTGCACCTGGTAGTAGACTGCTCGCAATGCACCCCCGCCCTTGCCTTTCGTTTGGAGATGACAAGCTACAGTCCATTTTCCAGACCCCCCTCACGCTTGAGTGGGGTAAGGGCGGGCACAGCCCGGAAATGTTTTTTTTAGCGAGTATTTAATTACATGAGGGTTTATGTAGAAAATGGCTGATGTATCATCTGTTTATTTTCAAGTTGACTTTGGCTGAAAAACATAAAAAAAATATCTACACGTAGATTTTTGCTTGCATCAAATTGAGGCTTAGCAGCCTACACATTACAAAACCACCACTTCATACATTCACACGATCTGTGCTACAACATTAAGGGGGTAAAGATTTAATTTGGTCAAGAGCTTGGCAGACATGGTATGACAAATATTGCACAAAAACTTTTGACATTGCAGGTGTCAAAACAGACAAAATATTAGATCCATGGTTGCTTTGAGCAAATTAAATACACCAAGAAAGAAATAACATTAACAAAAAAAAAAGGAAAGGGGAAATAAAAGGGTGCTGAGTAGACTGGCCTTCACAATGTTAAGTAGAATGTTTCTTTTTAACAACTAAGCTAAAGAAATTAAAACTGTTAATTTAATAGACTGTTTCCTAGGTAATATAACAGTAGAAGGGCAAGGAATGTTAAGATGGAAGCATAGAACACAAACACTGGTTGGACCTCAAGAGCAGTATGGATGCCAAAATGTCAATGCTAATGTGATGTTAACTAAACCAAAAAATGAAGTAATTTCGTATTGAAGATTTCAACATGGGCCCAACCAAACTTATAAAAAAGGAAGCTACAAATGTGCATGACTGTCCACCAATAAGTTGAACACGGTAATATTAATTACTAATCACACATAACATACAAAAAAAAAAAAAAATCGCAGAGATCTATGAGACGGATAATACAAAGTGCAAACATTTGCAAAACTTCACAGATTGATCCCAAAAATCAGGGGATAATCAAATGTTTTTCTTGACCAAAAATTGTTTCTTGTTTTTGGTTTTGTTTTTTTAGAAAAAAGAAATACCACATAGCATGAAGTAAAAAGTAGCAAAATGCAGAAAAGTTCAACACCTCCTATTTAAGACCGAAGCCTACATTATTTTTGTGTATGAAGCCCCAAAAAGGACTTGTGCATTCAAAGCCTTGTAAAAAGAACTCCAAAGTGAATAGATTGTTTTCTTGCAAAACATAGACATAAGCTTAGTGCAACCATAACTTTTGATTTGTTACTGGTAAGCCAATAATTTCCAAATGTATAAAAATAAAAATACCAGCAAATCAGGCTTTTAAAATTTACATTAAGCAAAAGCATTGACTCACTATCCTGACAGGCAAAACTCATTTATCAATGCCCCCTTTTCAGTCAAATAATGTCTTTTTAACCTTATGGTGCACTGTACATAATGCCTAGCCTAAGGCACTTGTGCTGATACACGGTGACACACAACAACAACAATTTTTATTTAAAAAAAGAAAGAGAAGCTTTTAAAGCAACCTAAGGCAATTCAAAAAGCAGTAGTAATATTCTGGAGTGATGTCTCCAGTTAACATAATTTTCATTTTGCAGACTTGTCATATGATAGGATGGAATTGATCTGCTTAAGCATAGCTCTTAAATTGAACAACAATTCATTCACACACAACACCAAAAGAAAAAGTGTCAAAGGCCAAAAATATAACAGAAGAGCATGAACACATGGGGGTTCTCATTACTGAAGCCTCTAATTGCTTCATTGCAGCAACCTGGTTCCAATTGGTCCACAATATAACTGAAGGACAAGGTAGCTACGTAGAGGCTTCAGATAAACAAGACAAAAGATATAATGGATACAATTATTAAGCACACAATGTATAACAATTCCCACTTGAGTATAAAAACTGAGGCATGTAAATAGTAAAAAAAATCTTTAAATTAACATAGAAGAATTTTATCATCTTTGTACACTCATTCTAACCAGGTAAGCTTAGTAATAAGCAATTTGATAACAACCGTAGATCATAATTAAGAGTATTCAATTTTCACTGTAACAGTCTGCAAATGGTAGAATGCAATGAGATTCACGTAAAATGAGTAAGTCCTTAGACTAACATTGTGGCAATCACTTGACTTATAATAGTAACCTGCCAATGAACAATTGCAAGTTAAATAGATGAGTGGAGAATGTAATGTGGAACATAATACACTATTCTTATTGCAGATTTGATCAGAAGCTTTGAAACAGGAAGATATGAAAAGATAAATCTTCAACAAAATACTGCAATTCCACTTTAACTTTACACACATTTCATTATTACCTCATATACAGAAGAAGCTTAGTATTATACTGTACATCAACAAATTATATGCAATAAAGACAATATATTTTATATAGCAAAGACAAAGTGCCATGTGCAGAAAGGCGACAGTTAACATTTCATGATCCAACACTACAGTGCAATAACTAACTATCATAACTTAACAGTGCAAATGTAGGGAGTGGCTGTAAGCCTTTAACTTGCATTCTTCAAAAGCAACAGTACACAGGGGAGTGTTTCATAAAGAATGGAAAACTGGACAGCACCAGGTTTGAGTAGATAATTTACCTTTAAACTTGATTTGGAGAGAAGAATTATTTTCCTTTCCATGATTTGTTGATTTACAGTATCGGTTAAATAATATAAGAAATAAAATGCAACATTTTGGACTATTTGTTAACAGTCAAATAGTCTAATACTGAAAACGAAATAATTTAACAGGTTAAACAAACCAAGATTCTTTCTGCACATCAGATAATATAACCATCACAGAAGTGAGACCCTGACACAAAAGCCTCACACTCAAACAACAAGCACACAACTTTTCAGTTCATTCACACCATCCAAATGATTAAAAAGAACAAAGGGAAAAAGAAAATTAAAACACTGTTACCCTTTTAGACCCTGTGGGGGCAGAAAAAGCTAGCTGCCTAGAGGGGAAAATGATTCCCATTAAATCTGTCCTATATGTTTGCATTAAAAGCAAACATTATTAGTACACCATATCTAGAAAAGAGAGAAGGGCGCAAAATCTGTAGCATACAAGACAAGATAAGATAAGGACAACCAAGCAATAATTTAAGACATTTATGAAAGTACTATTGAACACAAATTAGTCACAAAGTATTGTCAGAGTCAAATTCTATTCCAAGGCTTGAAAAAACTGACCAAATCAAAGCAGTGCAAGATATGCCATGGACCAATAAATAAATTTAATCTACTTCAGTACATATGGCAATACCATGAGTAGTTGTCTACAATCAGTTTACTTGATATAGAGAAATATATTCTTCATATTTAAAATATGACTTTCTTTTCCTTCTGCTATAATAGGAGAATATTGCTCCAAGTACTTGTCTCAGTGTCTTGGTATTAATGCCCAACCCACTTACGCCTATCATTCATGCAATAATTGACCCTTCCTCAGTGATGGTCAAGTTCTTACACTGTTTGAAATCACATTTGTCACAAATTCAACAAAAACAATGTTGATAGAAGTTGCACTACAAAACAATCTGTACAAATAAAATATGAAAGAATGCATCACATTTAGTGATCTGTCTATACAAATAGATTTTGAGGAAACCATTCCCCATTAAAGATAGATTCAATGTAAAAACACTAGCAGTATTTTTAAAAAGCACACACACATCCACTCAATGATACTGACACTCTTTTCCAATACAATAGCTGCCCAAAATGTTCACAACACTTCTGTACTCTGATTGTAAAAATTTGATTCTCCTATAGCTACAAAATAATAAATACTTAGTAAAGCATTCACAACTTTTAAAATGCTTGGCGAGTTGATTGAGATTCTAAGTGCACAATTAAAAGACTATGACATGACAACTCACATCCAAGGGTAAGAAAATAATTTTGTCATTCACTCCCATTGAAAGGAAGATAATTAACTATCTTCTTTGTGGAAGCTTATCAGTCCAAGATAAAAAATAATATAGATTTAAAAAGAAAAACACAACATAAAGAGTGCCAGTAACCTAGTATGCTTAAATTATACAGAAGTAGGCTAGGCTGTAGCAGTTTTAAGTCTCCCATTCTCTTGCAAATGAGACAAAATGCACTGGAGTGCACTAGACGTATGTGGCGATGGCAGACGGAGAAGGCTGCTCATTCTGAGGCCGCTTTTTAGGGCCTGGGACATATTGGCCAATAAATGAACCATCTTCTGTGAAACGTCCTATGAAGAAAGAAGTATATAAATTAGAATAAATTTCCGAATATTAGAAAATATTAACATTGGTAAGGTTAAGAACCACATCAATCTTGAATTACATAGTAACATGCAGAGTTCAAGATCTTTTTTAATATGGGAAGCAGAATAGGCCTGACAGTTTACTTATCACTGTTTAATAATCAGATAATAAGTCTGATTGAATTAAATGCAGAAAAGCCACAAACATTACCTGGATCAGACAAGTGTGGCGAAACCAGCTGAGGAAGTTTCCCCTTGTCGTTGTTTGCGACCATACTGTCCGATGAATGAGCCATCCTCGTTCATGCCTTCTGTTTGTATCAAGCACAACCAAAGATATACAAAAGTGCAAACACAACAACAACTACAGAAAGCATAAAGGTGCTAGTCTCATTAGACAATGACATATATCAAAAGGTGATGTTGACAGCACCAAATAAAGAAATAAGTAAAAAATAAATAAATAAACAAGAAAGCAAATGCATTGAAGCTGCAAAAAATGTACAGTAATACTTGTCCTGAAAACAGTCAAAACATCACTATATCCAAAATATGATAGATAATAAAAAAAACACACAAAATAAAAGTATGCAGGCAACTTATTGAGGCACAAAAATACAATCACACAAGATAAAAGTGGTTGCTGTGGTCTGTAAGACTTAGTAAGTAATATTTTTTGGTAATATTTTTTGATAATCAAACATTTTAATTTACCTGCACAAGAATAGGCAATATTACAACAATCACTCAGCAAAAATATTGTGTCTCAAAATTAGAAAGTGCCGTATGTAGAAGCAGTATTGCATTTTTCACATCAGACTCTTCCCACATCATGCAGAATTAACAAATGACTTTGACTGGCCATCCAGAACATGAAGAACATAATGCTTACCTGTGTCCCCATCTCCATACTCTGCCATTGAATCTGCATCACTCTCAGGTTCATGTTTTAATTCACTTCCCATAGATCCTCGACCATGAGATTTATTGTCCAATCTGAAAGACAAGCACAAATTACTACAAGTGACAATAACTATTTACCATTCTTTGTCAACGATTTAGAATGACTAAGTACTTACGGTTGGGAGTACTCATGGAAACCAGGTTCTTCTGGGTAATCATGTCTTCCATGAGCAGCCTCCCGCTCATGTACTGCATATTTCCCACCTCTATTTCTCTTTATAATGCAGACTATTATCAGGACAAGCAGAAGGAAGGCAATAGCCAACATCATACCAATAAACCATCCAGCAGTTGCTACATTTTCCTTTGGCTGAATCATGGGACCCTCTGTGAAAAGATGTGATTTTTAGACTGTATTTTGACAAAACACACATCATTACATCATGGATTTTACTAACCAACACTGAAAGTTTCAACATCTTCCGAATGACTCTCAGAAGTAAATTCACCATCAACAGCAACAACTTTGACTTCATACACTTCTCCTGGTCTGAGTCCTCCCAATATTATGAAATCTTCATTTGTCTCAGCTGGAGTTTCCTCATATTTGGTCTCCCCACGGAGTCTGAAAATAGATAAGACAGTCTTCCATTACACCATTTTTAAAGTGATGACTGCTAATGTTTCAACTTTAATGTTGCAACATGTATAAAAAAAATTGATTGAGTGAAAGTAGAAGTTACTAACTTGTATTTAACAAAGAAATGAGATCCTGGTCTTCCTTCAAGGTTGGGTACCCAAGTTACTCTAATTTTAGCATATCCATTATCTGAGGGCATTCGATGCCACCTGAAGCTTGGTGTGTCTGGAGGAATTGATTCTGAGCCTCTGGTCTTCTGTTCAATGAAGTACCTGAAGGAAAAAAATAATGAATATGTTTTGCTCCTAGCAAACATAATCTTATCCAATTTGAATAAAGAAAACGCACCCCTCTCCTTCTCCAGCTCTTGTAGTAGCCTTGATATGAATGCGATATTTAGTGTTGGGCTCCAACCCAGCGAGTTTTGCTCTTGTAGCTTTAGGGTCTAAAATATGAGGCTCACGTTCTATCAAGGTGCCAACTTTAGTACCTTTCACCATTTGGTAATAAATTTTGTAACCCGTCAAAATTCCATTTTCCTGTTCAGGCTTCTTCCAAATCAAGTACAGTGCTGAAGACCCCATTGGTAATGCCTCAAAAGATTGAACTGTGCCAGGTACTGAAATGCAACAAATAAATAAGTCAAAAGATTTATAAAATACTAAATACGTACTAAGAAAAAGACGGTTGAAAATAATTACCTCCTTCTGGAGTATCAAAGCTGAGTGTATCGCTAGGGGGACCGTTATATCGTCCATTGAAAACTAGAACTCGTGCATAGTTCTTGGAATGAGGGACAAATTTGTTGACAACAACACGGTGGATATCTCCCTTCACATTTATTTCTCTCATGCCTTCAGGACCATCCTTATCAGTCCAAGTTTGGATCTTGTAGCCCCGGAAATGTCCTCTTACAGATTCTGGGGGTACACTGTTCCAACTAAGCATGGCACTTGTGGCTGAGATAATCTCTTCTATGGTAAAGTTCAGGGGATTTTGGAGTGGCACTAATGAAAAAGAAAGTACATTGGCTATATTAGTTACACCCACATAATTTTACAGAACCTAAAATTAAAATATGATGACACATACCATCTTCCCCTGAGTACCCAACCACTTCTTTGGGCGCAACATTTGCTTCACCCTTCTGGTTAATTGCTACCACTTTAATAAGGTATTCTTGGAAAGTCGGTTGATTACGAATTACAAGGTAGTTTCTATGCCAATCATTAATGTCATCTGAATTCCATGTTTCACCAGGAATATTTCGTTTCCAATAAACTCTGTACATAAAGCGAGGGGCATTATGCTCTATTTCGGGCATGACCTGGAAAAATAGAAGAATTCAAGGTAATAAATTAAGTTTTGGTTTGTTTTAAGAAATATGCAGGCATTAGAGATAGTACTTACAGTCCAAGTTATAACAAGATTATTAGGTTCTGTTCCTTTTCCTTCAACATTGTCAGGATTTTTGTAGGGAACATCTGGTTGAGTAGTGCAGACAGTGGAATGTTGTGATGGTACAGATGGGCCGATTTTGTTCCAGGCTAAGACTCTGAAAGTGTAGTTGGCCCATGGGCTCATTGCAACCGTATAGGTCATATCTGTAGCAGGAACTGACTCAAATGCAACTTCCCAGGTATCTGGAGTGAAACTTGTATTGTATTGGATGGTATATCGCAGAATAGGAGCACGATTGTCACCCATAGGCTGCCAAGACACAGATGCATCCCTCTTGTTGCAGACAATACGATCTTTCAGACGAGGAGCATTGGGAACATCCTGAACAGTCAAAGTTGCTGAGGCTCGGTCTTCATCCAAATCAGTGCTTGCCAAGCAAGTGTATGATCCGGAATCCAATTCAGTGGTCTTGGTAATAATAAGGGAGAAATCTGAGGATCGCACAAATCGTGGCTCAGAATCAAAATCAAGGTTTTGGCCATTGTTTAACCAATCAATAGTCAGTGGTAGTGAAGAATCAGAAACTGCATTGCATCTAAATGTAGCTGTGCTTCCAGCTGCTACTTCATAATCTTCTGGTTTATTAGTGATGCGAGTATGTTCCTTCACAGCCAGGCTTCCTGAGTTTTCGACATGACCAAACTTGTTGGCTGCATGACAGGTGTAATCCCCGGCATCCAAGAAATTCACATCTCTGATTTCTAAATCACCACTTTCTTTGACAGTGTAACGTCCTCCTGTCAACTCCAGGCCTCCACGAATCCATTTCACTTCAGGCTTGGGTGCACCAAACACTCGACAGGTCAAGGTTACTGTTCGACCATCCACAGTGGCTTCATCTTTAGGAGGATCAGTTATCTCCGGAGCCAATGCTACGAGAAAAATTATAGAAAAAATAACACATAAGTTTTCATTTGTACCAAAAAAGATTGATTTTTCACTATTCTTAATTAGTTGAAAGAAATCGTTACCTAAAACATTAACATAAACATCCTTGTACACATAGCCCAAACTGTTGGTGGCGTTACAACCATAGTTGCCAGTATCCTTTTTGGTTAATTTTTCAATGGTAATGCTGTTAGGAGTAACTTTTCTCCTGGAATTTACAGGAGATTCTGAAATGGGTCTACCATTATGGATCCATTTAATTTCTGGCTCGGGCACTCCAGAGGCTTCACATTTGAATGTGACGGTCTCATCTTCAGCTGCATTAATTACATCAGGCTCCACAGTGAAGTATGGCACAGCTGCAACGTAAAAGATGGAATTTAAGGTTTGGATACAATGCAAGTGCAGTAAATAGAGTTTAAAATAGTTTTACAAACCTAGGACTTGCAAGTTAATTGAGTAAGTTTTTGCAGAGCCAACACCATTACTTGCTTCACAAGTATATGCACCTTCATCTTCAAAGGTAAGATGTTTAATTATCAAACTTTTTCCATAGTGCCCTTGGGTAACTCTGTCAGATGGTAGGATTTGTTTTCCATCTTTACTCCACACAATTTGAGGGAGAGGCCTGCACAAAAATGTTTAAGACTTTACTAACAGCACAGTTACAAAACATGTAAAACACAGGGAATTTAAAAAAAGTTTTTTTTTTTTTTTGAGTGATTTCAATTGATAAGGTAACTCAACCATAGAAAAGAAAAAAATACAACTTACGTTCCACCATATATGCAAAACATTTCCACTTTTCTTCCTCTCCAAGCCACTTCATTTTTCCTTGAGACATATTGTCGCACAGGTTCGTGTTTATTTTGAGCAGAAGAGACACCAGTGGCAAGAACATTCAGTAGAACTCTGTTACCTAGTTTGTATTCATTTCTAAAGTTGAATAAATAATAAATTAGATTTTTCTGGCAGAACTTTGAATATTGTGGACCTTACAGATTACAATGAAATTCTTTACCTGAAAATGGAAGTAGCAGCACATGCATATGCAAATTCATCACTAGCATCAAACCTAGTGACATTCGAAAACCAGAGATTTCCTTCAGGATCAAGAGTCATTCGAGAGTTGTTGATGCTTTTGATGCCACCATCTGAATTCTAAAACAATAACAGAACGCATTTTATTGCTTGCTTTGAGACTGAAAATAACCGCTGGAGAGGAATTTCAATATACCTGGATGAGCCAATACACATTAGGCTTCGGCCAGCCGTCAGGAGGCTGACAGGTCAAACGGAAAGGTTCGCCTTCAGTGACAGTTAAAGTTTTTGTCGGCTCATCTTTAAATGAGTTGAGCTCAGCTTTACGTACAAATACGGAATTAGAGGTAGCAACACCCCATTCGTTTTCAGCAAAGCACTGGTACTGCCCTGTAATCATAAGGCACACAAGAGATTTTTTAATAGGATTTCAAAATAACTGAATGGATAAAAAAATTGAGTTTACACTTACCTAAATCTTCATCTCTTGGAGATGTTATAACTAAAGTTCCTCTGCCGGGCTGTTGTGACATTCTGTCGTCATAGGCTTGCCACTCAAATGGTTTGCCGTTTTTGATCCAACGGTACCTACAATGAAATGCATGTATATTTATAAAATAAATATATTGAAGTAGGATCATCCTTAGACCAAAGGAAACCAAGTGAATACTGACTTAGGAGCAGGCTCCCCTTCAGCCTCACATTCAATGATGAAAGGTTTATCATTTTCATTCTGTTGAGTCACTACTTGAAACAACAATTCATCAGTAGGTGGTTGTTTAACAATTCTAGGGGGAGATTGAACTAGAAAGGAAATTGACAAATTAATTTTAAGTTTCAGAAAGACGGTAAATGGATAAAACCATGATAAAACAATACACTTACCAAGAGCTGATGCTTGGAAAACTGCAGCAGCAAGGAAAATCAACAAACTTCTTAGCCTTTTTTGCCCCATGATGGAAATATTTGGAATCTGAACAGGGATGAAAAGAGGATAGAGTTATGTAGAAAAAGTGTTGCATCATTGAACATAAAAGTGAAAATGAAAATACAAATTAAAGAGATATGAACAGGGACAATTTGGTGGTCCTTGTCTAAATATAGTTCACTGGTTTGTTTACAACGCGTCTATCGCTCTACCAAAGATTGAGGTTAGAAAGAAGTTAATGGTGAAGTTTGGTGGGAAGTCTTCACAGAAATCTGATACAGAATGATACTCAAACCACGGGCTAACCCGAAGAGGCCTTGGTCTTACTGTATGACATTGGAGATAACGGTAAGCGAAGGGCAGGCCCAGAATCGCCAATGTCAAACGCTTCGCCCGATGGTTAGAGGGAGTGTCCCAACCCCATCGCGACGGCTTTAGAAGAGCCAGACCTGCCCATCACTCGCAAACCTTAACGCTCAGGGTTTAACACAAGGTCTTCCGACAATTGACGTCTTTGCAACAATATCGGGCACAGAAATCCGTCAAACCAGGGATATAGCTCGAAACAAACAACCGAAAACTTTGCAGTGGAATGAGACGTGGTCCGCACGCAAACAGAAAACGGCAACTAAAGACGTTAAAACGATTCCAAGGATCAACAAAACCGTGAGAGGGTGAGAAATGGACGCAGTCTCAACTGGCCAGCATACCAAGGGGTTCTCGTTAAGCTCAGGGGTGTGCCCTGAACCGGCTCCGCCCCTGCATTAAGCTGCGCTCGGGATTGAATGTTGAATGGCAACCGAGAGGCGAGGCAGCGAGGTAGGCGCGGCACTCCGGGAGTGAACCTTTCACTGGGGGTAATTTTAGGCGTCAGATGGGGCGGGGCGGACCGTGCAGACGCTTGCACGAACAAAACTTACCTCTCCCTACGAGAAACGCTCCTTTTGGCCCTAATAAGTTTACATATCCGATAAACTGATCAAATCATTCACAGACAACAACTCCCACGGAAAAACATTACACACTTGTCAAGGAGGACTACGTGAGTCAGACGCGACGCCCAAAACCAAAATATTCCACACGTGCAATAGAGGAACGTTTTCCGTGTGACACTTCTCGTTAATTATTCAAATCTTTTTGATTTCAATAAATTTTCGAAACTCTGAGCCATGCTTTGGAAAGAAATGTTTTATGTACCACGTTAGCTTTTACAGCGACCACAGTAGTAGTTGTAGGTACCGTTCCTGCCTTACATTACGCGCGCCTACTTGCTAGAATCAAAAGTGACGCATTGCTCTCCGCATCACATTGTGCTTGTTCCAGGGAAAACGATCGGTTCGTTTTCTACATGAAAAACATGTTACCGTGTTTGTCTCGGAAAATGGAGCAAAAGAGTGTGTATGAAAAAATACGGTTTTAAATGAACAGTTAAGCTTAACTGCCTTTCCAAATGCAACATCCCAGTCGTGTGCCCTAGAGTGCCATTTTTGTCCCTTTCTTTCGAAAGTTCGCGCTATAGCCTCCACAACTTAGACGAAACTTCCGGGGGGACTGAGACCCGTGCTGAGACCTGACTGCGAGCGAGGTGTGCAGGAAAGGTGCAGGTGCATCCCTAACACTATCACGTGGCATGATTCCCACGGCAGGGCACGAACTTCGTTCGACCTCATTAAATCATTGGTACGGCTAGTGTTGAGACCCAATTCCAATATTTGCCGCGTGACCACAATGAGGTCACGCCTCATCTACAGGCCACTAAAAGCCACGATGTACCGGACGGCGTATCTTTGAATGCGCACCAGTGTTGCGGGTTTGCCTACTCGCGTCGCGGTCGCCATGGTCCCTGCCAGTGCCTGTGGCCTTAGCGAGTACGCGATCCGACACTGGAGCGCATTCCTACGATGCACTCCGGTACTTCCGTGGTGCGAGACCACAGTGAATTGCTTATTACCTACGGGTACAGAGTTTGTACCGGGTGATTCAGAGAAGACGCAGGTGCGGGCGGGTTTGCCTACCCAAAGGGGTAATGGCGCCTTAAGGGGCAGAAGGGGTAGGCAAACCCGCCCGCATCTGTGTCTTCTCTGAATCACCCGGTAAAGCAAGTTGGATATTTTCCTCTGAGTCGGCTCTCTAAAGACAATATAATTGGGCCACACACTTTTTCTGGGCGCATACCATGATGGCCCAATCAGATAACTTGCTGCCAAGCCAGGCGCACAGGGTTATTCGACCAGCCCCGGTGGACCTAGGTGGACCTAGGTGAACTGGCAATATGTGCGTCCGGGGTTTTGCCTATCATCACTATAACTATGGTATGGTGCCAAGGACTCTACCGGCTCCGAGCGTACACCTTTAACGTCGCTCCCTTAACGTCCATCCGACTATGAGTAGTTTTAGTACCTCAAAGTCGGGAGGTCACCCGGTACCGCTCGCTTTGGCCACTGGCTGCACTCACCAAACACCGCCGTGACCAACCCGGGCAGCCTCCAGGCTAAAAGATCCACGCGACGGGCCGGCGACTATTCCCCTTCGCTCCTGCGCGGCGCGCCCGCTGACGACGACGACGACGGCGGCTCCTCGAGCCCGCCAAGTAAAAACACTCACTTCCGGCCGTGCTCGAGGCGACCAGCGACCACGGCGAAGTGGCCGCGGAGTAAACGCGCCGGGGCGGGCGGGCTCGGCG